AGATAAGATCTTAAAATACTAAAAGAGATAGTTAATAGTAGATAGCGTCTTCTATACCGCTCTATAAGTAGCTACTTAACTTTACACCTATCCGTTTAATTGAAGCTGCTTAGTAATAACACTAAATAGCTCTAGCAGGTATTTATATAGCTTTAGATATTCGAAATCTTATTAACTTAATATATTCTGAGATAGATCGAGCTTATCCGCTAAGCTAGGCTTCGTCCACTCGAGTTAATAGAGTATAATTACTCTCTTTAGCTTTAGAGCGCGCTTAATTATTACTAAGTAGCTATCCTATTAAACTCCGCCGTCTCTTAGTAGCTAGTAGTAGAAATTCTTACTAGTAGACTCATCTCTTACTTAGTAGGCTTTAAATACCTAATAGCGTTAATCGCTCCGGTTAATATAGACGTATATGTTATAGAGCTTACTAATAGAGCCTATCTTTTTAGTCTAAATACTAAAGACACTATTATTATTAGTATTAGCGATTTCCCTCTCAAACTTGCTAATACTCTCGCTATAGATAGCGGCCTTAACAACTAGCTAAATAATATAGCTAATATACTATATACGCTACTCTACTAGGTTAACTATATCTAGATACCTTCGGGCAAGCTTCTTAAGAGCCGTATTATTATCTAACACGTTATTTATTATAAAGTAGCTAAGTTTAGCGCTAATAGAGTATCTTTTAATAATAGAAGCAATGTAGCTCCCAATATTCTCGCCCATATAAGATCCGCGGAGGTATAGTAGTCTAAGAAGCGCATTTTAAAGATATCTAGTACTATTAATCCAATGCGCAATAACGCTAATATAGTTAGAACTATTACTTATAGTCTAGCCGTTATAGCTAAGATTAATCCGACTCTTTATAGTATAGAGATTATTCTTAATAAAGCCTTACCGTGTCTAGTAGAGCTTATTAACCTAGCAGCTAGTTGTTAAAGCGCTTAAGGATAGTATTTTCTTAGCTCCCTTAGCTGTAGATAATATAAACGCGTGTGTGCAGTTACTAGTAGCCTGCTAGAAGCTTAAATCCTTAGCTACTAGCTAGTTAATAAAGTCTTACTTATATTTAATGTCTTTAAACGGCTCTGGTGTCGACTAGTAGCTAAAGAGCGTGCTAGGTAAAGGGGAAGATATTCCAAATAATTGAGAGGGTAAAGAGCCGGGAGTATAGACCCTATATGCTTTATCTAAATACTCGGTTGGATGTAATAAACTTCCACCCTAGTAGATACCGCTAAACTGCATATCTCTTACTAATTCATAGCATCGCCGATATAACTAGATGCGTTTACAGTCAGTTAACCGCTCCTCCATTATTTTAAGGTCGGCTCCGTAGTTATATATCCAGGACGGTGGCTAAGTCTCGCTAATACGGCTCTTATGACGCATGCGATACTAAAGAGGTATCAGGCTTCCATTACGCCGGCGTATCTTATTCCAATTGATGTCGAAAAGAGTATAGGAGGTAGTTAGTAGTGGATGCGGGTTGGTAGTGGACTCAGGTGCGGTTTGTGCGGTATCAAGGCTGTCGCATTCAGATTCAACCAATGTAGTTGGTAGTTTAGGTGATAAAGACACACGAGTAAGGTTGCGAGTAGTACAATAGCGTTACATATTATGCTATACAGCTAGTTAAATAGATAAACACGGTAAACCAGTAAGTCCTGACTTTAGAATTATAATCCAGAGCGGAATAACTAGTTCCGTGGCTAATCAGAGAGCCGCCGAAGACTTGCCGGCTATCCAGAACTTCAAAAACAGCATAAACATTATGCCAAGTATGCCAAGCCCCGTCCAACCTTGTCCGGCGGTAAGATATGGACGGACGGACGAGCCTCAAAAAATCACGCCGACGGACTGGACGGGGTTGTCCGTCCAACCTCGTCGCCGTCGGTCCGACCGACCAATGGACACCCTGTCCAGGGACAGTTCAGAATAATCAACTACCCCGAAAACACCCACCCGACGGTACTCTGCGCGCGTGTTGGGCGATTCGGTAGGCGTCAAAACGAGACCAACAGGTCGACCGGGCGGGGACGCGGTTTCTCCATCTACATCCCAACTCGGATAAACAGTCGCTAATAGCAGCAACGAGAAGTCGTGTTTCTTTTCAAGCTGTTCATACGGTCTCAAGGTCTTTCGTTGTTGGCGTATACCACATTCGCATGTATCCGCGAAGTCTACTGCTCCGTCAGAAATGCTCTTTCCGCTCTTCAAAAGGAAATGGGAACGATTGTGGTCGTCGACTTCCAGGAAATCTATGGCTTTCAGACGGCCAGACAATCGCAGAAAGCCCCCAATGATCCGACCGAAAGGGTATCCATCACTGCTTGTGACCTCTGTATCCAACAAAGTGCATCGGCTTTCCATTGTGACATCTGGTTGCCAACCGTAACTGAAATATTGTATGGCCCCGTCATACGCGCTCCAGCACCAACTCGGGGCACGATAATTTGACGATCTCTGCAAAGTTTCCTCTCGTCTCTGCCAAAGAAGGCCCTTGAGGATATCGCGTTTCCATAGACCACCCAAATACCCCGCCGGGACGTCAAACCGCCGCAGTGTGTCGTCTATGGTTGCTGCGAGCCCCGCTATTGCAGGCAGTTTGTTGTCCGCAAATGTCAGTGCTCGCTCAGAGTAGTCTTAAACAGCGTAGTACTAAGACATGTAGAGTACTGCTTCACCTGCGAGCCAAATGGTTGAAATGGGTATCCAACTCCGACTCCACCTCCTCTTGTACAATATCGCAGTATTCTCTGCACGTCGACTGTCTAGGCACTCGTAATACAGCATGCGATTGCTGATAAACAAGACACTTCCCGATAAGAATCGCTCTTGGAAAGTCCAGCCGCGCTTGTTGTGTCTCGAATGTTCAACATCTTCATCAAATTCGAACCGAAAAGGTTTCTTGGTTGAGCGCAATGGAAAAATCGTGTAAGACCCAGCAATGTCAAGCTTCGAAGAGGTCGCAAAAGGCATCTCGAATATCAGCGAGTTGGACACTCGTAGGAACAGACTATCGCAGGAGGAAGGACTGAGTACCGACGCTACTGTTAGATAAGCTGCGCTGTAAATTTTATCCATGACCATCACCTCCCGGGCCAGATCCCGAGAGTCATCTTGGATGATGCATAAAGAGTCTATCCACACGAATCTCAGTCCGAGCTCACGCGTCAGAACGAAAAGGTCTTGAAAGCTGCTCGGTAACTCATCGGTAGGAATCCCAGACACCCTCTGAAGCACGTTCAGTTTAGTAGTCCTAGAGGATATGCCAGATGTTGAGAGGGAGTTCCAGCAATAGCTATACGCTATATATTGGGTCCCGCAGGCAAGCGATGATATATCGCTCACATTGGAACTCGGGTCGTTGCTGGCTACAGAAAGCTCTTGTTGGGTATTCATCAGGCGGGGAGATTGTGACAATGAAGTTTCTCCGATGTCAATGAGCCGAGTCGGTGTGAATGCTCCTATATGGGCATCACAAACACCATGCTCCTCGGTACAGACCCTAAGCCACTCAGCACACAACTGCACGGTCCGTGGATTCAGTACGCTTGCTTCAATAGGCCGACGGTGTATCCCTAAGAAGCGTGCAATTGGTGTCTCTGAATTGTGTTAACACTGCTGTGGTCCAGTCATCCATGCGTTGCTAATGATGTTCAGCTTACCGGAGGTACACATGATATCAAAGGCGAGGTCAACTATGTGCCGTTGTTCGCTGCCAAATTGGAACTCAAGTGGCAGATACAACCGAAACAGACCGTTGGTGCTTTGCTCCGCGTCAGCAAATCGCGAGTAACCCTCCCAGATGTACGTGCACTGGATAACAGTCATCCTAGATGGCTCTTTTAGCTGGAAATCCTCGAGGAGTAAGGCATCCCATATGCTCTGATGTAGAAAGGCGCAGAAGTCACACCCTTGTGCTGCGGAGTTGGTCAGATAGGGGAAAGCTAGATAGGTATCCTCAAGCGAGAAAGCCAGATCGAGCCTATCATTCGGAGCTGTGAGGACGCTCTCCCCATCATCAAAGACAGTAATCTGGAGACCTCCCTTGTCGACGTTGATAGAGAACACCTTGCACTTGTCGCAAAGTCTTGAGCTCCGTGGTGTATTATGGCTCGGCTCGCTGCCGCTGCGGCTTGCTTTTGCGGACGCCATCAAGCAAAGCTATCTTAGAGTCAAGTCTGAGGCCAATACACAACAAAGAGAAGTGTGTCTTGGCAAGAACCGCAGACTATGTTTTGAGAAGAGTCCAGGCGTGGTTATGAGTTTTTGACTGGACGGTGGAAAGGCTGAAACGAGGCTGAAGGCTCAAGGCTGCAGCCAGCACCAGAAGACCGGCAAGCGCCTAGGGGGCTGTTCGTGCATTCCCTACAACCTCGTAGTATGAAAATTGCTTGTCTAATCTCTCTAAAGAAGGCTTAATACTACCGCTCCTTCTTGCTTGCCCTTGCAAACTGCTAATACTCGATAGCTAAAAAGAACGCTGAACGAGCTCGGAGAACGTTTGCCCCGCAGTGGGCGGCGGAAGGGTAACATCTCCACACTCCACATCGGAAGCTTAGCGGCGTTACCTCAAGCGGTTTAGCCATCATGTTGAGAGTCCCAAGATGCAAACGGATGCATCACCACTTGCTCAAAGTTTTGTACTTTGGAAATCGGCTCCACATTATCCAACCACGATGTGTGGAGCCGAAGAGATATATCGGGTATTGAATGTATTTAGCAGTTCCTGCTGTTTGATTGCTTGATCCGAACGACCATTCGTGGTTCTTGATACAGAAACACCTCTATGCGAAACAGCTAATATGTTGAATACATTCGTTACTTTCTTAGCTTTTGGCTTATCTGCAGCCACCGCTGCTTTACCAGTTTACTCAACAAGTGACACAATAGACTTGAGTCTCTCAAATGTTTCTGTTTCATTCGATGTGCATGCTGGAGCCGCAGCATCGAAGCCCATCAACCGCCAGTTAATCTCCATGTCCATTGAGTGAGTTACCATGCGTGCTGCATGTCCTGTCTTATCCGCTGATTATCGAAGGTTCTGCTACACCGTCGACTTTCTAGGGCAGCCAGACTCGCCAAATCTCTTCTCACAACAGTTGCTCCAGAACATTGAAGACATATCTGGGACCTCTCCAGTCCTTCGAATTGGGGGAAACACGCAGGATCTTGCACAGTACTGCGAGAACTGCCTGCAAGCGATGAATAGCACGTACAGGCCCGGAAGTACCGAGGCCATCAATGTTACCTTCAGCAAATCTTTGTTCAAGATATTGAACGAGAATGGACCTTCCAGCCAAGAGTATGTCTTTGGACTTAACCTAGGACGAAGTCAGTTATTTCCTGCTCAATTGGAATTCAGCCCTTACTAAAATAACTATCATTACTACCAGACAACGTCGAGATTGCCAAAGCAGAGCTCACAGGAGCTTTGGCATACCTCAATCAGTCAAAGCTCATCGCTTATGAGCTCGGAAATGAGCCTGACCACTATGTCTGGCCGATCGTTAATTACCGATCTCCTGCAACTTGGGATATGCTTGCTTACGTCAAACAAACGATGGAATGGTTGTCGCAGCTGAGCGCAGGGCAAAGATTTCAATATGGCTCTATTGCAACGAGTCCAACCCTCGCCGGAGACTGGACGATGGTCCAAGCTATCAAACTGGGTATTCATCAGCTTGACACCGTGAAGATCATCTCGTCTCATGCATACCCGGGACATGTCTGTACTTGTGGGTCCCTCAAACCGCTCAAGTATCCATGTCTTAATATTGACTTTTCCCAGCGGAGTTTGCAGCGCTTGTCAAGCTCGAAAACTACGTCAACCACCTCAATACCGTCCAGTACTTCAGCGCCTACATTGGCGAAATCGACGCTGCTAAGTCGGTAGGACTGACCTATCACATGGGTGAGACAAACAGTGCTGCATGCCACGGCAAGGACGGGATATCTAACACGATGGGCGCCCTATTGTGGACAATCGATTACTCTCTCTATCTAGCATCCTTAGGGGCCGACAGGCTCTTCTTCCACAACGGCGTAGGAGACTTTTTCTATTCTATGTGGGAGCCTGTCGCGCTGAACGACTCAGCACCCGCACATATCAATCCCCAGTAAGTTATGAGTTTCCTCTTGTCGACGTGTGATCGAGAACCAGATCAAGACACAGCATGCGACGCCTACACTCGCGAGGATCAGAAATATTCGCATCACGTGGTCACGCCCGGGTCAACATCCAGCAGTTAAAGCAACCATTATTAATTAGCTAGCGCCCTTAGCATCTCGATCAAGAGTGCTTGAGGCCGCAGACCAGCAGACTATACGTCTGTCCTAGCCCCAGCTATCACCGTTGCCCAGACCTAGTCCTGTGGCTCGCACGAGCCACGAATATTTCTGACACTCCTGAGTATATGTTGGATTGATGTAGTACTCGCTGTTACTATAAGCTGCGACGCACGACGTACTTTCTCGCTCCCACCGATAGTTCTTCGGCATTCTTAACATGATACCTGGTTCTATCACCGACTCAGCTAGCTGACTTTCTGCAAAGGTACTACAGCATGCTCCTACTTGCCGACGTAGTTGCAGACCTGGACTCCCCTCGCGTCTACCGCGCCTCCCATCTGGACACCTACGATCTCGCGCACTACGCCATCTACGACGGTTTTGTGCTCCAGAAATTGGTTCTTCTCAACATGCACTACCACAATAGTTCCACGGAGACGCGTCCGCTCAAGTCCATCAATGTCGCTCCTGTGCTTGGAAAGGATATCAAGATGAAACGCCTCACTGCTCCTAATTCAATCGCCAAGACGGGCGTTACGTGGGGAATGCAGGCCGTGGACGAGACCGGGAAAATTGCAGGTGAAGAAGTTACAGAGACAAGATCGGATGGCGTGGTGATTTTGTTTGCTTCTGAGGCTGTCATTGTCGAAAAGAATTCATCTTAGACACGAGCCATTATAGCAAATATGCACGTGATAACGGGGCTAGACCTGTTGCATGCTTGTAATTAAAAACTCCCAGCAAGCGGCAACCCCTTGTTCACTAAAAACCGCGTCCTTCGTAAATTCACCCCGCATCCCGTATCCCGCATCTCGCCCGCGTCAAGGTAGCCGACACAGTCCTTCAAGACCCCGTTCAGCCCCTAAATAGAAAGACAAGGCTGGCTCTCTGAGAAGCCATGTAGACTGTAACACTATCCATCAATTGCAATAAACTGTCATGTTCTACGAGCCCGGCAAAACCGACCACGGCCTTCCTCATGACCCGTTTAAGGTAAGGGGAATTGCCGACCCCCAAACAATCCCACCTTTGCTCTACCAACACATACACTGACTTCGCAATCCTTAGGCCTGCGTTGTTCCCCGCCCCATCGGCTGGATCTCTACCATCTCCCCCACCGGCAAACCCAACCTAGCCCCCTACTCCCAGTTCAATAACCTAACCTTCGATCCGCCCTACGTCCTCTTCTCCGCCAACCAGACCGTCTCCACCACACGTAAAGACACCGTCATCAACGCCGAAGCAACTGGCAAGTTCTGCTGGCAGCTCGCGACCTGGGACCTGCGCGAAGCCGTCAACGTGAGCGCAGAACAAGTCCCCTACGGCATTGACGAGTTCGACCGCGCGGGACTGGAGAAGGAGTACGCGCGAACGAAGGCGGTGTTAGGCGTGCCGATGGTTAAGGCGAGCCCGGTGAAGTTCGAGTGCGTGTACCACTCGACGTTGCGGTTGCCGGGGAACCCGCCGATGGGGACGGTAGACATCATTATTGGGCGCGTGGTGGCTGTGCATATTGCGAACGAGGTGCTGACGGATGGGATACTGGATGTGAGAAAGACGCAGCCGATTGCGAGGTGTGGATACTATCAGTATGCGGTTGTGAGGGAGACGTTTGAAATGGTTATTCCGGGGCTAGACGAGGCGGTGTTGTATGGACTGGAGGGAAGTGCGAAGAAAAACAGGGAGGTCGCGGAGATGAGCGAGATGGAGGTTTTGCGGAGGCCCCTCAATAAGGCCACGGCCGATCAAGAGAATAATAAGGATATGCTGGAGGATAGCAGAGCGGAGGCGGCCTACGTGCAGACGCAAGTATAGTCAACTGTGCTCTCCAACCGTTCTAAGGTTTAGAATTACCGTGCCTGAAGTGCCGCTGCGGTTGGATACTATTGTTTACTGTGCAATCATTCACCAACGAAGAACAGCCGAGCGGCTGAACAAGATGACGAGTGCCGGATGATAGCAGCTGAGATACTCTTGAAAGCCCGGATGTTAGCTAAAGGTATACAAGAAAGATACGCAGATCGATATGCGGGATCTATAGTGTGAAGCCCCAAACTATTACGGCTGCTATTATAAGAGATAGAAACTTCGCTAGAGAATCCAAGTAGCTGGATGTTTTATAAATATTGATTAGAGCAAGACAGCAGCTGGACGGACACAAGCTCTGCGGCTGAGACAGACAGCGAGACTAGGTGGATACAGTCCGTCAGGAGCGTTCTAATATACGAGGCTGAGAGACTCAGCGGGCAACGTTGGGGCTCCAAGGATTTAGCGCCGTAGAGGCTGCGAAAGGCAAGGCCAGACAGAACACACGATAGAGTTCAGCCCTTGCATCAAGAAATCGGAGCAAGGAAGACGGACTGAGCGAAAGATTCCCTTATCTAGGGGCGAAGTGCACTCGCATGACAGGTGCGGAGCCGAGGATAGAAACTTCCAGCCATGATAAGAACCCCTCGCTGAGCGATCCGGACAGTAGCGTAATGCATCGAACGAGCCTGCTTATCCACCGACACCCAGGCGACATGCCTCGAACGCCATATTCAAAACACGTGTAAGCGCATTGACAATGAGTAGCGGAGCGAAAGTTAATACCGCCGGGTAACGCCTTGAATATCATCCCCTGATATCCTCCTGTGCCTCTTGGCCGCCGGTTTGCCAAGCGGCCGTGAAACGAGTGCTGGAAGGTCCCGCTGTTGGCTGGGCCTGGCGGACCATCTTGCAACCGACCGTGGATAACTCAGAGTGTTGGTGGGGCGAGGAGTGCTGATTATACCGGAAGAGATTCAGCGCGGACGCCCCCGCCACAGCACAGAGCGGTCTTCGTCGTGGAACTCGACAGTTTTGAGCAGCCGGATGACCGTCTTTCATGCTAGGCAACGCTCTACAAGCCCCTCCTCTGGCCCTGCGCCGCGCCTTCGAACGGGCAGGCTGCAAATAGCGGATCAACCGGGTGATGACGCTTGCGCACCCTAGACGGCCTGCAGACCAGGGTCTTTATCCATGCGTCAAGAACTTAGCGTATGGCTGGTAGAGGAAGCTTTGGATAGTAGGATGGCCCTGGCTGCCTTGTCGCTGGATGAAAAAACTCAGTGAGGCGTTGGCTGAACCACACTATGTTGTCAGATGGTGCTCCACGCTTTGAAGGCGTGATCCCCTGAAGGATAACGGATAGGAAGGCCTTGCGGACGTCCTGGAAGTTGATTTGGTTTCACGTACAGGAGTGAAGTAGGCTGTCGTTAGCCTTTAGCCGCTGGCGTGGGTGCTCTATATGCCTCTATCGGTCGAAGCGGCTGCGGTCGGCTTGTAGACTTTAAGGCTGTTGAAAGGGCGGTCTGATACAGAGATAGTGGAGGCTGATCTCGTTGGTTAACGGGATAGGAAAGCCGAGCTGGTATAAGACTGTGTGACAACATCGAAACCCCGGGGCGAGAGATTTGATTAGAGCTTGCGAAGATTTGTCTGGCGAGGTCACTTAATCGGAGCTGTAAAAGTCAGGGCTACCGTAGCACTGGGTGGCGAGGATTGCTCACCGTATATCAATCCTCATCCAACGCTACTGGAGGGCAGGATCGTGTAACAGGTGATGAGTGGGCAGTCGGTCGAGCTGCTGCTGCAGTTTTGACAGCATCTCATCCTGCGCGCAGATGATTGCCCGATTGTATCCTTCCCAGCGGGATATCCCATCTCGTGTCCACTTTGCTTCAATCGCGCAGACAATGATTTACCTCGATATGTTGAGAGCTGCCGCGACGGGCATTTTAGAATCGTCCTTGACCGGTTCTTGTGCAATGTCAGGTCGGGCCAGCTATTGAAATCGAGGGTCGACAGGCAGGATTCCGCGGGTCGGGCTAGGTGTGCTGGCTAGGCTCTTCATAACGTGCGGATAGTCAACGGGGCCAACCAGAAGACTCACTGGACAGGCCGCTCCGCGAGAGCGAGGCTGTACGGACGAAATTCTGCCATCGAAACTCTGAAGGTGAGATTGTGCAGGTGCCGGAGGTCAAAACTCACACTACCGCCGTCATGCCACAAGTGCGCTTTCCCAGAGGTCATCGTGAACATCCTCCTCCTAGCTTGTTTCCCTCGAGCTTTCTCGACGTTGCGGATGGACGCCAGGATTCTTGACACACTCACTCGCACGAAGCCTCCGAGGTCCTCCCATCGCGCTGTAACTGGCTGCTGCGAGTCACATCCGGGGTTGCTTACACCCCGGCCACCCACAGCCAGGGTGGTAAATAGTCGGTCCGATTAGCGCAAGATCGACCGACCGACCAGCTAGTCCTGGTCGGTCGGTCCAAGCAGCAGAGCTTGGTCGGTCGGTCTGAAGCTGCCCGACTAGCTGGTCCGACTAGCGGACCAGCCTTGGCAAGGTGTTTAGCCGGTAAGTCTTCGGCGGCTCTATAATTGGTCCGGAGGCTGGTTATTCCGTCCCGAAACCTCAGACAGCTGGTCCCGGAGTAGCGCGCACGGCGCCGGCGTCGTTATACATCACGGCGGCAGCAAGGTGGACACAATGGGAGCTGGTTGGACACAATGAGCAGGTTCTGGAGCGTGGTGGATGCGGTTTATGGGCAAGATTCAGTATACTAGCTAAGAAAACGCTGTCAAAAATTCACGACACCATGCCAAGACCTTGCCCGCTATCTAAGCCAATCCGGTGTGGTCGGTCGGTCCTGGAGCCCCCTTGGTCCTGGCCGGTCGGTCCGGTGGTGCGCCCTTACTTGGTCGGTCGGTCCGAAAGCCTCGGACCAGGACCGATCGACTATCTACCACCCTGCCCACAGCCATTGTGATATCCTCTAAGCCGGCGCAACTCGCCTGCAGAATTGTTGGCGCTGTGCGACCATGGTGCCTTGATTCCCCCCTTCCGGCCGCAGAATATACAGCGTGTCCGAGCATCCAGCCGTCGCCCTTTGCGTCCGGATAACTCTTTCTCCTTTCGACCTGGCCCATTCTGCTCCGTTCTCTCTCCAGCGAGCCGGTTTACAGTGTTTGCTTCCGCGGTGCGTCTGATGCTGGTGGATTGTCTGCTTTGTAACGGAGGGTCTCGTGGCGGTCGATGGATTGAAGATGCATGGAGTGTGACTTTGGCGGCGGAGGCGGAGTATCTCAAGGGTATCGCTGAATGCAGATGTCCGAAGCTCGCTTTTGAGTAGCAGGCATCTTGGCTGAGGTGGATCGGGGCTCTCGGTATGCGATAGGCTTCGGCTCGTCGAAACCGTTTGTGTCCGCCGAGGGGTTCAGGCTGTCTGCATACGACTGTCGAAGAAAGTTTCCTCACGATATACGATCCCTGGCCGTGAACTGGACGGAACTGTGCATTGAATGCTTTTCATAATGGTGGATATCCTGGCGGTCGGTGAACTCGAGCCCGCTAGAGGGTGGCTATGACGACGGAGACTCTTGTGGAGGTCGAAAGAACGGAAACTGGATGAGTTTGAGGCTATAAACAGCCTCGTCTTGGGACGGAGGTTGGCGAAAAAGGATGTTGTGGCTGTCGACCGAAGACCACTGAAAGATAGTTCTCGCAGTGCATGCTCTCCCGGCCGTAGCCGGAATAGCCCCTATGGGAAAGTATCAGCGGACGGAGAACATTTCTCGCCGCGGAGAGTGTGTCGGAGGTTGATGGATTCGGGTTTGTTCGCGAGGATAATGAATGTGGGGTCTCGCGGCTATTGGCGAAGGTTCCTGATAAAAAATACTCCCTCGTTGTCGATGGCTTCGGCGCTGTTCGATACGTGATTGAGCGGAATGACTGAAGAGAATAGGCGTGATAGCGGCGCATGCGAAGGCACGCGCATAGAGGATAGCCCGGATGAGAGGTGCCGGCGATGAAGTCCGAGGGGTAGAGGGACTGTATGAGTGTAGGATGAACATGAGGCTAGCGCCTCGCATCCAAGCCGTGGACACGGACTGTGCGCGGATCCTTGGCATGGTGTTGATGAAATCTGACTGCACCTGGTTTATACAAACCTTCAACGGAATGCGTGCCCATTGCTGTCTCCCTTCCGTGTCCATAATGCCCCGACCCCAGAATATCTTCTACTGTGCCCGAATTGCTTCCTGCATCTCGTGCCCGTCTTACCTCTTATGCTTAGCTTACCCATCGATGAGCCTCGCTGTCTTCTCAACGCTGATGCCCTCCGTGCCTGCCCGGATCCGTATCCATGATTTACAATGCTACCTATCGTGTCCATCATCCTGTTGCCTGTGCTGTCTGATGGTGTCGGTGCTACCGATGGAGGTTTGCCTTTCTATTAGCCTTTCATACAGCATGCTTGCGGTAGTTCGAAGTAGAGCTAGCCGAATAGCACAATGGGGTTGTCGACGGTTTGTGTATGGCTCCGCGCTGGCGCGTTGGGCACCTACCATCTGGCTTATCAGATTTGCTCTTCGGTCAGAGCGCCATATGCTTGGATTTGGCTATGGCTATCATTTAGCTATTGTTTACCCCATGTAAAGCACTATCGCTTCTCCCCATCATTGACGTTGACATCGAACTGTTCGGCCACATTCTTTGTGACGTTCATACAAACTTAGTCCGCCAGTTCAGCAGAGAGTCCCACCAAACTTGCGGGGAGAGAGCCGCCCCGCCGCCTCGACCTTCACACCTCGCTCACCCTTGGTTGTAAATCTCTCCACACCACCACCGCATCAGAGATCTAATATGACCTACGCCTTAGGGATTACAGCCGCTTTTCTGTTAACTAGAAACTTGCGTTTAAGATCACCTCTTTACTGATCTTCCTAATCGTGCACCTCTTCTTCCAGTATGGAATCCAGATACAATGCACGTCAGCACGAGAGACAGGCCCTAGCTAAAAACATTAGTAAGCCGGATGGCGGAATAGTTCAAGCCCACATTCGGGAATGATCTCGTTCCGGCATCCGAACGCCGCTCACTCAGCACCTGCAGCTTCGACAACAACGCGTATAGCGTTTGATAACGTGAACGTGAGGCTGATGTCTTAGAGCTGAACCGGGATACCTCAGTCATCAGGTTTCATAATGGTCGCAAAACTATTCTTTATAATCTGAAATAATCATGGCCAATTAATAATCGATAAGCGAAGGTGCAGTCTGGTCGGAGCTCTGCCTAGGTACTAAAACTTCGAAGCAGTGGCATCATCTATTGCCGCATATAAACGCAAACGCCGCTGTTAGCAAACATCATAACTATTTGATCATCAAGTAGACGCTTTTTTACATCTAAGTCGATTTTCATAAGCTTGTCCGTCGCGCTAGCACTCTATCGGCCACTACGTTATTTTGATTCTTTCACACGCAGCAGTCACTGCTATTTCCTCTCCACCGCTTCATCTCGGACTTCAGCTCTTCTCTCCTCATCGGGGCCATCATCGCCTATAGATATCATGGGGCCGTACTCAATTGTTATCATCGGTGCCTCCTTTGGCGGTATTCCCGCCGCCCACGGCCTCCTTAGGGACGTCCTCCCCGCAATCCCCGCACTCCGCGAACAATCCTATAATGTCACGCTGATCTCGCCATCGTCCTACTTCTACTGGAAAGTCGGCTCGCCGCGCACGATCGTCAACCCTGCCGCGCTGCCGATCGAGAAGGTCCTCCTACCCATCGCCGACGGCTTTAAAGCGTACCCGAAGGAGCACTTCGAGTTCGTGCAAGCGTACGCCACGGCGATCGACCACGCGACCAAGACCGTCGAACTCTCCACGGATGACGGGAAAACTTCACGCATCACGTACGACTCCCTAGTCATCGCGTCTGGCACCACCTCCGCATCTCCTCTCTGGACCCTCTCCAAGGGCTCTGACGCCCTCCTCGCAGCCCTGAAAGCCGTCCACGCGCGCCTGCCCCGAGCCTCCAGCGTCCTGGTTGCGGGCGGCGGCCCCGCGGGCGTGGAGACCGCCGGCGAGCTCGGCCAGACCTACGGCGGCGGAAAGAAAGAGGTCACGCTCCTCTCCGGCTCGAGCCGTCTGCTGCCGCGGCTGAAGAACGCAGCCGTCGGCAAAGACGCCGAGGCGCGCCTGGCGAAGCAGGGCGTCAAGGTCGTGCACGGCGTCAAGGTAACTGGAGTCGATGAAGCAGCCGACGGCGGGAAGACGACCGTGACGCTGGACAACGGGACTAAAATGGTGGTTGACGTCTACATCGACGCGACGGGCGAGCTGCCGAACAACAAGTTCATCCCTGAAACGTGGTTGGATGCGCGCGGCTACGTCAAGACCGACAGCCAGACGCTGCGGCTGGATGTGCCGGGCGCAAAGCGCGTGTACTGCATAGGGTCCGCGGGGAGCTACTCCAACGGCGGGCTGCTGGACGTCAAATTTGCGGGGAAGGCGTTGCTGGAGAGCATCGAGCTCGATATTATCGAACAGCGTGAGGCTTCTTCTCCGGATCCCATCCCTGCGTCGTCATGGCTCGCTTGGGTGACCTCGTGGTTACCGTTTTCCGGATCGACAGACCCGGCGAAGAGGAAGAACATCTATAAGAGGATCACCGAGACTGATATGCAGTTCGTTCCCATTGGATCGACGCAGGGTGTCGGTGCTGTGTTTGGGTATAAACTCCCGAGCTTCGTCATCAGGCAGGTAAAATCGAAGGATTTCATGATTGGGAATGCCCCGAAACTGGTGGCTGGGACGGGCTGAACGAGCGAGTCGGAGTTTCCTTGTAATTACGGGCGTGCTGCCCTCTTTACTTTTTCTTTCTCTTTCTTTTGGGTTCCCCTTCCTGCGGACATAGGTCTGCTTCTAAACGTTGAGGGCTGTTGACTTATCCTATTTGCATGCGTGTGCTTACCATCAATGCTTTCAGGCTGGCGGCATCTAAACATATAGATCGTAATCAAGAACTACTTGCATGCCGTTCTCGTGCTGATCGATCTCATGTGCAATCTATATTCGCGCGAACCGGGGCGGCGTTAGCTTTTGACTGCAGAATGTTAAGAGATGCCTTTCAGCACTGCCCTGATGAAAGAGCAAGCCAGTAATCTATGGGAGTCAACCCAGGTTAGCAAAGATTATCCAAAGCTACTTGAGTCCCCGAATTATTAAGAACAATATGTAGAGAAAACCCGCTCAATGGAGCACTCATCGCTCCATGTAGACATACTCGATATGAGAACATCCTTTGTATCAAGGCGGCTAAGCTCGACACGATCACACAAGTCGGAGAAACTAAGGAAGAGGTTAAGAAGGGAAAGCTTTGTTTAGATTAGCTCAAACATAGAGTTCATATGGCTAACGAAGCGCTGAATTGTGTGCTTACCTCATCGCCCAACTATACAGTCCAACAGACCCGTTAGCGGGTGAATTGGGACCGACTCATTGCATTTAAGGGTCGTCTATTCCTTCACCCACGCTTAAGGTCATGTCCAGCACTAGACCCGAGGACTTGTCATTGATAGAGCGTCCGCGTTGCGGGGTAGGGCGGCTTGGCGCGTGCCCACGTTGGATCCGTCTTTTCTACCAAAGTTGTCGTCTCCAGCCTCCTCATATCAATCCTTGTAGACCGCGGATTTGACACGCCTGATTAGCTGCAGCAACCACACAGGATCCGAGTCTGCATACGATGCCTTGCTGAGCTCTTCACTTGCGGCAATAGTCTGGACAATATCCGAACAGCTGCTCGTTCAGGTTCATCTCGCCGGCACGTGCACTCTCTCCGCAAAGATCTAGTGGCCTGCAGCTCACGCAAGCCCAGATCTAACCGTCATACTATTCCTAAGCTGGAGTCGGTAAGCGAGCTCGCAGGACCCTAGATAAACTTTAACGAGCTGCAAGCATGGTTCCTCCATATTAACCTGGATATCATTTACCCTCCAGATGAACCATAAAGCCGATGTTCCCCAGGGTATAACAGCAGTCCGACTACAGCGCCTTACAGTACTCGATTGTCGAACTCAACACCAGCATCTCACCACGTTGACTGCGAAGCACCATGAAGCTCCTTACGCTCGTTACTCTCTTCGCCGCCGCCGTTATGGCTGCCCCGGCTGCTGAGATCGATGGCTCAGCGCCTGCGGAAGCACTCGAGGTAATAGTCCCCTCTAAAGCTCTCCAGAATATATGTTGACCAATCAAGGCTCGCCAAGGGTCCTGCATCGTCACTAGTACGTTCACTTAGGGATCCACTAAGAATGAAGATATAACTGAGACGTTAGGCTGCCGATCGTCGTGCTGCAGGCAATACGGCGGCTGTGCCTTCTTCGACTGTCGAAGCTCCTATGTGAGTCCTCCCCATTCAGCGGTCCAGGTCAATAGATCCCGTACCGTGGCCCCCCTTACCCGCTTTACACTCGAAACATCTGTGTTCGCACGGATAGCTTTCGTCTTGTTGCCAAGTGCCTAACGGTTGCGTCTACAGTGCGCCACGTCCGGTCCTGGAGGTTCTTACAGGTATTGCCAGTGCAGTTGCAGACGCACAGGGTAGTCCCTCTCAGTGGGATGAAATCTGAGAATACAGCCGTGCCGGGAAACAAGATGCTTACGGTCTGGGGCTGGCTTTCGGTGCTTCTTCTGTTGGACAAGCTTGATGTAACAAATCGTGAAGCTATGCGAAGGACGTGAATGATATGCGGATAGCCCCAGATGCTCTTCTAAAAACACACCTTAACGGGGTATAGCTCTATTGGCTCTGCGGGTCGATTTGGCTCTCACAAGGACCTCGAGAAGCGCATCGGTTGCAAATAGTCCATGGGGCTGTTATTTACGCACAGCAGTAAGCCTCTAGTCATGAACATGCTATGCTGCCGCACTAGGATGCTCCTTGCTTATATTCATCAGGCTGAACCAGTAGACGGGCTGTGGCTTATTGGCCCAGGATCGCTGAGTACTTCTGCATGTGAGAACCCTACTACTTGCAAGGCGCAGCGCCGCTTGCACAAGCGCATCGGGCAGATACAGTAATGCTATCGAGGCTGAGCTTGCATTCGCCCGTCTGTTGAAAAGGCAGCCCGCGCGCAACTCCCAGCCTTGATGCACCCTCGAAAAATCTCTCGCTTGAGTTTTCACCAACTACAATGGATCCCGAAACGCAACATCTAGAACCAAGCAGTCTCGATTCATCTCTAACTCAGCACACGCCCAGAAACTCCGCTACCATCTGTCCAGCCTCAGCAGATGGCTCGGCAACACTATTACAACCTTCCCAGGGCCGCAATTCGATTCATGAGGATCGCGCTCACGAAGATAAAGATAGCTTAGCCTCAAGACTCCCGGCTAGTGAGCTTCCGACAAATTTTACCGTACGACACAGCTGGTAGCTCTTCGAAATCTCATCGGCTGCTCTTTCTTTACTCGGGCTAGCCGGTCTTATTGCCCTTTTAAGGAAATATGACGGGCAGCCGCAGACAGCGTGGACGAACCAGACTCTAACGCTGAACGGTCTTATAGCGCTACTAGCCACGGGAGTACGTGCTGCGCTCATGGTTCCTGTAGCAGAAGCTCTAAGCCAAGCGAGATGGAGTTGGTACTCGCCACGGGGTCGAGCCGTTCGCAGCAAACATCAAGGAAGAAGACTAGAAGACTTCAAGGTCTTTGATGAAGCATCGAGAGGTCCCTGGGGAAGTTTAAAGCTCCTCTGGGAAACCAAAGGCTTGTAAGTTTTCGCACCTTGTTCCGTCGGATGTAGTCACCCAATTAACTTGAAGGGTTTGTAAACCATAGGCATCTAGGTTCCCTAGGAGCCATTCTAACCGTTCTCTCGCTAGCTATCAGCACTTTCTCGCAACAGATCCTAAGCATTGCATATCGAGATATCGGCCATCAAAATGACAATTACACAACATTTATCCCAAGGAGCGAGTATTACGGAGGCAACTTTGATCAATACCGATAGGATATGGAACATGCTAGTAAGATCCAGTACTTTACCGTTCGCATCTTTCTTATCAGCTGATCAGTCTTGATCTGTTAGCATATAAACCTGGGATTTCAATGGTAGCAGCAATCAACAGCGGTGTTCTCGGCTCACCTCAAACAGATCTACCGGTTGTTTGTCCTACAGGCAATTGCGAGTGGCCTATCGTACCGACCTTAGGTGTCTGCGGAGCTTGCAAGAATACGACGGACCGTATACATAAAGAGACGCACTCTTCCACTACTTACACGTTTCCAAATGGGTCCTCACTGCAAACCCCATCTTACCCTGATATCTTCACGGTCTCCTCGATCAACGTACAAGCTCTTAATTCCGCCAACTCTACCACCCCGCAAACTTTTCATGATGCCACCATAAGCATCTTTGTCGCGCTGGGGATTCCTACCGTAGGCCACGATAACTACACTTCATCAAATCCTATAATGGCCCACGAGTGCTCTCTTTGGTTTTGTCTACAAACGCACAGCATCCGGGTCGTCTCTGGCAGACAGCAGCGTACTCTCATTGGTACATGGAGGGAAATGTCAGAATATTCTAGCGCTCATGCATGGGTAACTACTGTTAGCCGGAATTTCACCAAACCATCTCCTGACTTCAATCTGTTACCCCACAACGTATTTGGCGTTCACGGTGGTGTTGTACACGCTATGCAGGATCATATGAAACGCCTTCTTAGTGGCACAGTAACCTTCCACGGCCGTATACAGGAGGGAGTTAGTCCTTCAGATGCAGTCGAGGCTGTATGGTACAACTCATTTGCGATGGAACCCTGGATTCAGAACCTTGCGTTGGCCATCACCAACCAAATCATCCAAGCGGCCCCCGCGGGTAATGATTCGCACTACGGCAGTATGGTTCATACCTTAGAGCCTTTTATTCATGTTCGATGGCTATGGCTCACCTTTCCCACCCTCATCGTCCTTGGATCAATCGTCTTTCTGGCCGCTAGTATCTGGCAGACCCGCTTAGCACCTACACGAGCCTGGAAGAGCAGCGCGCTCGCTTTACTATTGTGTTCGGTTGATGACGTGACGAAGACGCCTTCCGTCGTGCGGTATATTGACAGATTCGATCGCATACCTTCATCGATTGGGAGGGTCAGGGTTGCGTTGCAGCAGACTGAGGAATCAGGATGGGTATTTAAAAGGGTCAGCGACGCATGTACAGACCCGCAACCGGCATCCGAAGCACAGCCGGAGAAAGACGGACCCGTGGCCAAAGTTCCCGGCTCTACGCCCCAAGAACGACTCGAATCATTCGATCAACTCGCCGAGGAACTTGCCGGTGCTCACGATCTGGGAAGGGGTGAAAGAGGTTCTTCATCTGAAGCACGACGTTTTGCTGAGGCAGAGTATGGACTTTGGGGTATTGCGGCCGGTAACGCTCGAGCCTACGAGATCGTGGGAGCCGCACAACGAACTGAGCAAACAGCGAGCTGTTTAAGTGTACCTCAATCATGGGAAATCGCGGCTGTCAGGGACGAGGCGAGCAGAGTATGAAACAGGCTTCACAATCGTCAAGCGGCAAGATAGCCAAGCAGGATGAGCGATATCCAGATTAATGTACCAAATTATCTGAGGCTCGATGAAGCCAGAGTCCTCCGACACATATCCAACGACTTCGCCTGTACAGATACTCCTACCAGACTATAACAGATATACACGTCCCTAGCTTTTCACTCCGTTCGCTAAATGATCTTTGTAGAACTCCAGTCCAGTCGTTATGTCACCGCGCTTGGCCTCGTGCATATCCCTGAAGTAGTTCGATCTTGGCCTCCACTGTCCCACACTGCCGGCTTTAGGCATGGAGCTGGCCGCATTCTGCAAGTACGTGGACTTGAGGTTGAGCACCGGCTGACTCTTCATGCCCTCCGGATTCTGCACCCTCGGCACTGCGGCCGCGAAACCATTCTTCCTCATGTGGTTCATCAGCCGTGTCACCAGCTGCGCCGTCGCATCTGCACCGAGCGTCCACGAGGCGTTCGTGTAGCCGAGAACGAATGCAGCGTTTGGAAGATCTTGTAGCATAATTCCTTTCCAGAGAAACTTATCGGGAACATGTAGCTTTTGACCATCGACGGTAAAGGTCATGCCACCGGCAATTTTCAGCTTGAGTCCGGTTGCTGTACAGATGATGTCTGCCGTTATCGTCTCGCCAGACTCGAGGAGAATCCCTTTCTCAGTGACCGTCTTGATGTGGCCGGTAACGACATCAGCCTTGCCACTACGCATGGCCTCGTAGAAATCGCCGTCAGGGCAGAGACATAGTCTTTGATCCCAAGGGTTATAAGTAGGAACAAAGTGAGGGTCGAAGAGTACCGAGGAAGGGAGCTGTTTCTTGGTGGCCTTGGCGAGAACACCACGCGCGGCGTTGGGGAAGAAGCGGCAGAAGTGGTAGAAAAGAAACCCGAATACAAGAAAGCGGTAACGGTCGAGTTTGTGTGCCCAATACAAGGGTAGGAATCGATGGTAGAATTCGCCGAGCGGGTCGCCGTTCGGAAGTGACAATACGTAGCTCGGACTCCGCTGTAGCATGGTTACGTGCGATGCTGTCTTCGCTACTACTGGCAGCAGCGTGACTGCTGTTGCGCCAGAGCCGATAATGACCATTTTCTTGTTGCTGTAGTCGAGGTCTTCAGGCCAGAACTGCGGATGAACTGTCGTGCCCTTGAATCTCTCAAGGCCCGGGATCTTTGACTCCATCGGCTCGTCGTAGTTGTAGTATCCAGTGCCCAGAATCAGGAAGCGGCCACGCATGGTCTTCGTCTCGCCATTGTGCTGTACCTCCAGCGACCAGTTCAACGTGTCCGACGACCAGTCCGCTGATATGACTTTGTGATTGTATTGTATCTTCTTGTCAATCCCGTACTCTTCTGCCGACTCCTTGAGGTACCTGACTATGCTTGGCCCGTCCGCAATTGCCCTTCGTTCCGTCCACGGTCGCCACGAGAAGCCGAAGGTGTGCAAGTCGCTGTCTGAGCGGATGCCCGGGTACTTGAAAAAGTCCCAAGTCCCACCGAGCCCGCCGCGGGCTTCGAGGATCGTATATGTCGCGTTGGGTACCTGGGTCTGGACGCGGTACGCGGAATTGATGCCTGAGATGCCGGAGCCGACAATGATCACGTCGTAGTCTACGACCTTTTCAGTAGCCCCGTCCATGATGGCAGACGGAGGCGAGATATCGAGGTGAGTAAGTATATCGATAGATTAGTGCAGGGTGAACGGTAGTTGCAGCTAATATGTGACTTCAAACTGCTCGTACTCTATATATCTAGGTGGTGAGAAGCCGGTAAATCAAGAATCTAGAAGAGCAGCAAGTTAGCGAAGACAGGCGGATGGTTTTGACTCCGTCAACATAAGCCGCAAGCCGTAGCTTATCAAGCGGCGAAGGAAAAGTGCCTCGGCTCAAGGTCTAGGTGTAGACGTCGTTGGACGTTGGACGCAAGCCGGAACAGGTGGCTAGCGGGCTTTCGCCTTTTCAAAGGCGGTCGCGGCTTCGGAAAAATTCCGCTTGGAATGTAGCGACCCTTGAACCGCGGTCCGCTAGTTAACACACGCAATCTCATATCACCGACCCGTTTCGTGGTTTTGAATCAAGCGGGGTACCTACGCTGCTCATGATGCGTGTAGAGGACACGTCGTCAGAAGAGGAGTAACTCGGGAGCGAAAATACCGTGTGGATGACGGATTGTCTAAGGCGGAGGAAATTTGCGCGGTTGGATCTGGGGCAGGCTGCCGTTCAGTAAAGGCAGGCTTGATGAAGGCCTGGCGCAATTGTTGAGAAGCGGCAGCTGGATGTACGTGGCCATCGTACAACAACGGGAATCAAGAATGCCCAGGTGGAGCAAGTGGGCTGCAGTTGGGGATGGGTTGAGGCGGAGGGGGACTTTATCTACAATACAGGGTGGGATACCGGCAAGTTGGAGAAAGAGGAAGGTGGCCGCGGTGGATTCAGGGTTCAAAGTAAATAGGTCAATGCTGGTACGGGGAGAGTGACCTATTGCAGAAGCAGGCCGAGATAACCATCAGACTTGACTCCGCTGCCGGCGCCTTCGAGGCCGAACAACTGGGCGGAAAAGAAGGTCCGCCCATCTCCCAAAACGAATACAACGACAGTCTTAGACGGCGCCGGCTACAATGCCCGAGGTAAGCGGTGCAGGCCAACGCTCAGCGCAGTTCCGACAAATATGGGCGGAGGGAGCAGGTCATTCCTAGTACATTATATAAAGCTAGATAGAAGATATCCTTGTCTCGGACAGACCGATGGGAGCCGGACAGCGTGAGAAGATGAATTCTCGGCGACAATGTCCGTGATAGATTCAGTGTCATATCACCGAGCCTGGGAACGCATGCAAGAACCTGTGCAAGTCGGGGTTGGTTTTTGTCCGAACGTCTATGAACGATTGGGAGCGGGTTGGACTCTCCAAGCTCTCGGACCCTGTTGCCAGAGAGAGGTCTCCCGCAGAGATCCGTCCAAGTCAATGTCCACCTAGGCTATCGCCCAAGCCGTCTTTTAGCTTCCCGCCTGCCGTGTTGTGTGCCGTCGTGTCAAACACCCATCCGAGTCGCTGCCAGTTGTCCTGCGCCTTGTGTCATGCCGTTAGGGAAGCGGTCTCAGCCGCGGTCGAGCCGCCGGACGCAAGGCGGCTGTGAAGCTCTGTGGTTTGAGCCTCCACTCGCAGCACCGGCCTTGTAGTTCAACGTTCAAGCGGTGTCTGAGCTGGCGTTGGAGCTTTGATGAGATCTTGTCCGGCGTGGTCTCAATCACGATGGATGCGTACCGTTCGCACTGGCTCGTAGACAGGTTACCAGAAGATTTATTTGTCCGCCCTCAATGCTTGCTCATAGTAGAGCGTCGTCCATCGTGTCATGTCAATGGTCTTGGAGTTGCCCATGCAAGCGGGATAAGACACCGCACATCCATAAGCGAAGCTCAGCCACCAGTATGAACTCGAGTTCGACATGCTGCATCTCCACGATGAGTTTTACCACAACCTGTTGTTTGACCGTCTTTCCATTCCTTCCGTGACCACAATCCACGGAAGTCTTATCCCAGCCAAGATGCGACTCTTCTTCACCTTCTGCAATCAGGCGCTGGTCTCCATTTCAAAGAATCAGCGTGTGCCACTGCGCGAACTGGGTCTCGACAGCTTACCACGGCTTGCCGGAGGACCTCTTGATGCCGATTCCAGATGTCTAACCTAGTTATCTCGCTTTCCTCGGCCGCATTTCGCCAGAGAAACGTGTCGATCGGGCAGTCCGCATTGCTGAAGCTGCAGGCATGAGGCTCAAAGTCGCAGCCAAGATCGACGATGTTAAACGGGATTACCGCGAAAAAAAGATCAAATGGATGATGGCGCTTCCACACGTCGAATACGTCAGCGAAATTTGCGCCACGGAGAAGGCGGAGTTCCTGGGCAACGCAGTCGCTCTGCTGTTTCCCATCGACTGGCAAGAGTCCTTTGGCCTTGTGATGATCGAAGCAATAGCTTGTGGGCCGCCAGTCATTGCTTTCAGCCACGGTTCTGTGCCAGAGGTCATTAATGAAGGGGTGACGGGGCTTGTTGTCCACGATGAAGCGGCCGCCGTCGAAGCAGTCCAACGCGTGGAGACACTATCTCGGGCAACCGTCCGCAAGGTGTTTGAGCAGCGGTTCTCTGCAAGGACTATGGCTTCCGGCTACCTCGAGACGTACGAGAAGCTGTTGACACAGAAACGAGAAGCCGACATGCAAAAGTCTCGCCGCGTAACCAATAGTATAAACAAGAGGACCGCATCGAATCGGAGCAGCAGGGGATTGGTGCAGCATCATTTTGGCTTTCGGCCTGTCGATGATGTGGCTATTCGAAGCCAAAGCCTCGGTCTATACGTGTCTGCACACACGCGGACAGAGCGAGACGGGTGCGTAATTCCGCAACCGCGCAGATCTCGGACACTGACGTCGGCAGGACAACGCGGTCTAAATATTCCAGTTTTGGAGTCGGCGCGGGGTCCGATCGATGGTTGCTTGTATGTCGCGTTCTGTCGCGTTATGCGGAGAGAAAGTTGTCCAGAAAACAGCAAGGCGGATGGAATGTCTTCGTAAATTTGCACATTTGAAGGGACAAGGCCGTAGCGCTCGTAGAGCTTCGAGAATGGCGAGCGTATGGCGCATGTAGCTCGTAGTCGGTGGCAGTATACCATGCCCGCTTTATGGTGCTGCATCGCGACCTTCGGACGTATCTTTGCCCATTGGAACGATTCCCTCGTGATCATGACGTCTGCGCTTCCACAATGCTCTTTTGTTTGAAATAGTTACCCCACTGCTATATCTGTTATTGGACGAGGCTGCCACATCAGCCGAACCTTTCCCTTGCAATCGCCTTCAACATCTCCATCGTCTTCTCCTCCTTGGCCTTATGCTTCTCCAGCATTTCCTCCCTCTCCGCAAGCCTAGCTCGCAGCAACTCCTCCTTCCTGATCTCCCTCTCATTCTTCTTCCTCTCCATCTCCTTCTTACGTGACCTAAATGCCTCGATACCATCATCGCCCATCAGCTGACTTTCGCCAACCTCTTCAGCTCCCGGTGACTTGGCTTCGCGAAAGGACCGATGTGTAGCGGCAATCTCCCGCTTCTTCTCGAGTTGTCGTTCTCGGCTGCCTGGGTCTGCGCGCGGGACAAGCTCTTCGAGGCGCTCTTTTTGCACTGTGCGGTCGACCTTCCTCTCGTAACGGACATCGGCCAGGTGGTTAGCAGAGTCTTCGAAGATTTGTTCTACCGCCATAGTTAGCACGGCTTGCAGGGTTGGAAGGACGTTAATATAGTACCGTTTCGTAAATCTAGATCCTGCATGCTTGGTACGGCCGGTCCGGCTCTTCGACTGCGAACATCTTGACTGGGCAGCGCTGGGCCAATAGCGTCTTCGTCAGTGTCCGTATCTGCATCTTGTGGCGGCGCTCCGGAGGCGTAGTCCGGTGATGAGCGCCGTTGTCTTGCGGGTGAAGACGATTTTGTCGAAACGGTGTTGGAGGATTGGACAGCTTTCTGCTTTGTAGCAGGATCATACCACCCTTCTGCGAGTTCTCCACGATTCCTCATCCATGTTAGCCTCGTGATCCAGACATAGGCGGGCGGCTCTGCTCCCACGGATTGGGATCGGCATACCACTTCCCCACAAAGCTCTTCCATCTACCCTTTACCTCGCCCTCGGCGAGCTCTTCCAGCACCAGCCGCTTCTGGATGTCCAGGTAAAGTGCGAAAGTTGGTTTGTATTCGGCAAAGTCACGCTTTGCCAGTTGTCTGGAATTGAAGGGTAGAACGACAGGTCGTGGGGAAGCGGTCCGCCTGCGCTTGTGCCGGGAGTGTTCATGTTGACGGCGCGGTGACCTTGAGCGGTCACGGGAGGCGCGGTATGGTGAGCGGGTTTCGGATTGTGCTGGAGCCATTGTCTTGAGAGTACCTAGGTTAGGTATACCTTGGGATGGTTGCGATGGCACGAGTCAGATGTCATGAGAAAGCCGATTGACCTGATCACGTGTAACAGGAAATTCTTAATCAGCATATCAGTTGCTTGACTCTAAAAAGTAACTTAGCCTCTCGAGCCTGATTGTATGCTGCATTTGCAACTCGGTTTCTCCCTAGACTTCGCTGGCCGAATGGACCATTTCGCCAGCCCTCTGCTGCCACTATGTAGGCTGGGGTAGGTAACACCTAACTTGATTCTGCGCAGCGGAGGTATTGGGCTGAACCGCCATGCTCGCATACGAGTTTGGCATGATTATCGCAGCTTTGACACCTAACTTCAGTGGTAGCGTTGAGAGGGATGCGCCGTAAAACCTGGCTGCAGAACTGGAAATGGAGGCAACACGACGGATGGGCTGGGGTAGAGGACTTCCGTTTCACGGACTTGTTATCTCAATTACGACCCAATGGTCCTTTCCTGACGAATCTTTGGACAACACACGGCAGGTCCGTTCATTAGATGGAGGGAGCTCCTCGGCCCCTACTTGAGTTCCCGGCGTGACATTGGCCCAGTTGCTCGCAAGGCCCACCAGCTTACAGCATTCATGTCCTTCTTGTCTGTCCAGCGTTTGGACTGCAAGAGATGATTCATCAGCGAAGACGGAAATGGCAACATCAGTTGCAGAGGCCTGTTAGCATACTAGGCCATGTGAGTGACGCACAACGGCACTTCCGTGAAAAGAGGCATCGTTGTCTCGTCGGGTGGAGCGTCAGATACCTCTTTTGGATATGCTGGAGGCTCGTTTTGTGTTTGCTGCTGTGGAGAAGATCCTGATGGGAACACATGGTTCACAATATTGTCGTGCCGGTAAAACTGAGCAAGCTGCAGCGGGGTCCAGGCTATATAAGAGCTTCGTTCGCTGCAATAGCCCACATCATTAAGACTGGACAGGACTGAATCCAAGCGAGCACGTCAAGATCCATGACTGAGGGCTAGAGAATGTCTTTCCAGGTCCTAAATCCGGAAAGACCGTCTAGAAGCTCAAGCATCCCGTGTTATGAGCTCTCACATTTAATAGAATTAAGTGAGTTGTGCATTCTTTTCTCATAGGTCTAATCCACATGATGAACACATATCACATTCAAGTTTCAAGACGGATCGGAGAGGCGTCATCGTACTTCGCCTCTATGAATGAGAATTCCTTTCTGAGCTGATCCCGTCCTAACCTCCAGACCTACTCAAAACAACGGCGGACCGACTTTCTGACTGTGTTGCAGAAACGGCAGTGCGAGCGTCCCAATCTAAAGAGAAAATAGCGGACTGAAACCCTTTCTAGTGCGTTGATACTTTGTTTGAATGTTCCACACTGAGCCGAATCAACGCTTATTCAGCAAATATTCGTGAGAGGCTGTTTAGCGGACGTATCCGGTCAGCAATGATTTAGCAATAGCCGTAACAATAAGTAGTTATCGTACATGCCGGTAACAAGAAGCATGTAGCTTTTGCAAAATTAGCGAAAGAACCCATGCATGCTACCCCTACGCCCTCCGTAGTTCATATCCGACCACGATTCTTATCCAAAGCATGTCATCGTGCACCTGATAGCGCCTTCGTGAAGGCGCACTGCCTTCAACACCCCCCACACTTTGGTGTGACCTAGGCCTTGTTCCGCGAGCTCCTCCTTGGCTCGCCATCCGCCGTCGCAGCCTTTTTGGGCTGGCGCTTCTTCGCTGCGGGCTTGTTTCCCTTTTTCGGCCGTCCACGACCCTTCTTACCCTTGCCGCTCTCCTTGTCGTCCTTCTCCTCTGTTTCATTGGTCTCGTCGTTAGTCTTCTGTTTCTTTGCCGGTTTCTCAGAGGCATCCTCGGCTTTCTTATCACCATTGGTATCGGCCTGCTCCGCTTCCTCGTCCTCCTCTGCCTCGTCCGCTTTCCTCTTTTCCCCTGCCTTCATGCCACCATTTTCCTTCTCCTTGTCGTCCTTTTTGGCCTCGGCCGCGTCCGCCTTAGCGTCAGCGGCATCTCCCATCTTCTCATCTCCCTTCTCATCCGCTTTCTCGTCTCCCTCCGCAGTCTTGTCCTCTGATGCCTTCCCATCGTCCTTGCTCTCTTCCGTAGCGCCCTCGCCTTTCTCCTCGACCGTGAGTTCGTGCGCGCGCTTCACGACGTCGTTGCCAGGGCGCGCGATGTGCACAGCCGGATCTTCCGCACTGGCGTTCTTCTTGATGGTGTTGCCCTTGTTCGACTGGATAGCAATCTCGCCTTCCGTGGCTGTCTCGGCAACTTCGCCGCTGGGCGCGCCGTTGCCCCATTTCCAGGATACTGCGAACGTGTTAGTGAGTAAACAGAAGGCCTGAGGAGGGATCGCGCGTAGTGGCTGTTTGGCGCGTGTTTGACTGCGATTGCATGATGGTGTGGAGCGCGTCTGTCGCGCAGCGACACTCTGAGAAGCGCGTATATCGCGAAGAAGCAAGAGACAAGATGAAGCTTACCTTTGTCGCCTACTTCGATGTCTTTGTCGGCCATTGTTGATGATGACGTCGAGTACTTAGTATATGCAAGCGCGTAGGGATACTTGGATATCAATTGGGTCGCGAAGACAACGAGATGATGCGCGATAATGCGGGAGGTATGCGCGCGTAGTGATGATGTTTGTTGAATGGAAGTGCGACGCGCGTGGATGGAAGTTGGCGGAGGTCAAGCAGCAGCTTCCCCCCGGCTGTTGCGATCTCCCGGCGCGATCGCAGGACCGGGGGAGGTGGGATCGCTGATTGGCCGTGGCTCCTGCGTGTTTGTGGAGTTGGGCGCTTGGCGCGGCAAGGGGCGTGAGCTCACCTCCATCGAGTCCCCGGATGTTTGGATGCTGCAGTACTGTAGACCGGTGGATGGATCTGACATGGCATCTGACATGGCATCTGACATGGTACCTGACAGGTGGAGGAGCAGTTCGCTCCCAGTTGAAAGACTGTATCTGTTTGAGGTGTACGTGTTGGTCCCATAGTTATCAGTGCCGACGCACCTACAAATTCATTCTCTCACGGCAGTAGTCTACTAAATATATTGAAGGACTCTCGCAGCGGAAGGCTATTGAAGCTGAATTCATGCTCTTTTTGCGAAGACTTGTAGCTATTGCGGCCGGGATGAGTACTTGGCCTCTATCGCGAACTATGTTTGAGGCCAATGTCTAACGTTCTGATACAATACTTGTAGACTCCTGTCAGAACGGCTTGGAAGCACCCTCGCAAGGCCGGACAGTATACTTTCAATGCAACATGGTTAGCCGGCATACCTAGCAGCGTCAACCAGGCATTTCTGCGTCAGACATCTACCGTATTCGGCTTTGCGTGAGGCTGGCAGGGGATTGGTCAGGGAACATACCTACCTAAACTCAACCGACAATCTGCGGCTTGCAAGATATTTAAAGATACGATTGTACTGATTCCTTCAGCCCAATGCTGACTCGTGCCCCTCCAGATGGCAGACCGCGCCTTTTGGGTCCTTAGGCCGCACGAAGTGCGAAAAGAGCATTTGGAAGAGATTGCGTACCTCTCGTGCAGTTAAAACTCGAAGAACTCCGACACTATATCAATGCTCGTCAGCACAGAAACCGGACAACATAGGTTGCCCGCAGGCATACTCATCAGTGCTGGTGATCACGCGATCCGTAACATGTAATGTCCCAGCTGTATGAAAGAACTTCTTAACCGGCTCAATAACTGAGTCGCTGTTGGATCATTCTGTGGTCTCTAACGCGTGGGAATATGACTGCCAGATTTGTGTTTTGTTGGAACAGATCAGAGCTATTTTGCACGTAAACTACCACTTGTAGGATGTGAAATTGTTCGTCGACGCATGGAGACTTCCAAGGATGGGACGATCAACAACTCAATGAGAATTTGTGGAAAGCATCATAAGCCCCAATTGCCTTTGAAACTAGTTCAAAAACACAACGTATTGGTGCTGGCTTACAAGGCAGCGAATACCCATGCTCGGACAGCGCCAGTCGCAACGGGACGCACGGAAAAGGTACCATCCAACGGCGGCTAGACTGAACGGCTGGGGCGCTGGACCCTGCAATGACGAGCATGCGGAGCCGCTGCTAAAGATAGAACGGCCGCTTGACTGGATGAAAATGAAAACAACGATTTCGTTGACGAATTCTGCATTGTCAAATGGCTGCTTCAACACTGTGTGCGCAAGGAGAGCAGCCGCTTACCTCGGGTTCTTCTGCGTACAACTAACTCCAACCTCCGTCCGCAACGGACTGTAGCCCCTTTAAACATGGCAGTAACCCACGCCGAGGACCCGCGGTTCCTGAATATCATGCGTCATAGTGGGACAAGGATGAGAGGTGGTACGACAACGAAAACAGCCGACTGACATGTGGGCCATGAGGAGCTACTTAAGAACCCTTTTTATCGTTGTCTCTACCTCAAATACACACCCGCCCACGACGTCTTTTTGCATCTTGAGCCATAGCGTTTTCTGTTATTCTCGCGTTCCCCAAATAAGTCAAGATGGTCAACACACGCGCATGTCTCCTGGCAACCCTCTCCGCCCTCTTCACCTCTGTGGCCGCCCTTCCCTCACCCCAAACATACGGATACCCATCCGGCATGACTGCAGCTGGTCTTTCGTCCTTCTACCTCGTCACCACCTCTTCGAGCAACGCAACCACCAACTCATCCGCCCTGCCTAACGTCAAGGCCCTCAGTCTATTCGACCCCTACTACCAGCCTAGCTACTACCTCCGAATCATCGATCCCGGATACGGCAGTCTACCTACCTTCAACCTCACCGATGGCACGCTGCAGACACTAGCGAATGCGCCACGTGGCCCTGCCGTCCACCTGTACAACTCGACATCGGTTGTGGAGGATGAAGAACTACAGTTCCTGCCTGAGGAGCAGCCGGCGGGGAACCTTGCGCTAAAGGGGGGCTATCTGTTGACTGTGGATGGTGAGAGCGAGGGGTGGAGCATCTGTGTTGGTGATCTGGAGCAGAAAGTGGTGAGTGCTACACCAGCTTTGCGAACTCGAGTTTGCCTAGGGGTTAGACTGACTTGGAGTTCCAGATTGTGTGGAAGGGAGCCGATGACAGCTGCGAAGACACGTTCATACATGCGGTTTCGACGCCGCCGTATTAGTCGAGCATCGACACAAGCATCCGCCGATAGCTAGGCATAACAGTAATAGTAATACGAAATCTTCACGGACTGGAAGTCCATGGGTTAGGGCTCAATGTGATGCTGCGTACGCCTGCGTGATGGGACCTTGCTGGGAATCAATATCTATCCCGTCTGGTTTCAGGTTCGAGACGAATGGGCTCATGGACTTGTATTCGAAGCGTAGCATGCAGTAGCTGTAGTATACGCAGGGCGTCTGGCTCATAGCTTGTGGCATGGAGAGTTATGAGGAATATCGTAAGCGTAACCCAATCTCGATGCTTGCGAGAAGGCTCCCAAGCGTATAGTCCTCCCCAGCGTGTACAACATGTGAAAGCAGAAGTATACGGCACATCGTTGTCACTTCAGCCCTAGAAGACCCCAGTATGGAACGAATTTTATCCGAGGATGGACATGAGAAACACCCGCTAATGCTCGTCCGTATGCAACCGTGATGACCGCTCCCAATTCCATCAACCGCCCTGATCTAAAAGACCGGCCCATCCGATTACCCACCATAACGCCCATGACTCCCGACCAGACGCCCTACGGGAACGAGAGGAGCGACACAATTATGTTGCAGTGCTGCTCCCTTCGCCCAACAGCCTCGCGATGATGACGTACCCGAAGAGCACCGCGACACCCAGCAGATACTTGTTCCTGCTCACCCAGCTCTGTCCCGCCACTCTCGCAACCTGTCCGCCCTCGACCACCACGCCCAGCCCCGTTTGACTTCCTCCAGGTCTTCTCCTCAATGCCGCCGCCTCCGGCAAACACGATCCATGCCCCGCAGCAGCATCGGCCTCTGGCACCACCAGCCCAGTCGCCGGATCGATCCTCTTCTCTTTCATCCACTTCCAGTTCTCCTCGTCTAGCTCCGGCCACTCCGCCTTAAACTTGACCCCGCCATCCCCCGCCTTGATCGCACCAATCCCCCTGCTATTGCTGCTGCTCACACCCGCAATGCTTCGCTGGCTCGTCCCACCACCCGTGCTATTCCACCAACGCGTCCGCTGGGCAAACAGCCTCCGCTCCGCATCCGACGCCCGCACCGACCCCGTCGTCATCTCCTCGCTCGTCATGAAGCTCTGCAGCCCGAGCAGGATGGTGCTGACCTCCCAGGCCGGGTTGAAGCTCTTAGGGTGGAAGTCGCTGATGCTGAGACAGAGCCGGGTCGAGGGCTGGAAGCGGCCAGAGGGCGTGTGCATGCGGATTGCGGGCGGCGCGAAGGGGTAGTCCGGCGGGAATATCAGCGTGCCCCAGTACTGGCCGTTTTCGTAGGGCGTCGAGGGCGGGCCCGTCAGGATGTAGTGCCACTCGAGGATGTTGGTTTCGGAAGGGTGGGCGGTGATGTAGGGGGGTGGGTTGGCGGAGATGGATTTGTATTCCTTAGTAAGGCGCTTGGTTGCGGCTGACGTTGCCATTTGGGCTGTTGAGGGCGGTAGGCCTGAACTTTGTTTTGTAGGGAAAGAGCGGTGGATACGGATAGGTGATACCTAAGTAGCGAGATTTGAGGCTGTAAGGATTGTGTGACTGAAGAAGTAGTTGTGGTGGGAGTGAGGTTAGTGGTTGTAGAGGTGAGAGGCGAGAGGCGAAAGGTGTAGAGATGCTGCGGATGAGGTTCCGGTGCACCTCTGGATTGTCTTGGCAGGACTGCCGGTGAAGCTACCTGGGTACCGCCGTCACAGCTTCTGCATCGCGCCGGTTTGCAGCTTCACCAGCCGGCTCTAGCTACTTCCAATGGCTTCGCCGCTCGAAGACGATGTATGTTCACCTGTTCACCATCAAGCGACCTCGTCGTCACCTCTTTGAGTCCGAAGCTAACCAGAGGCTCCCAATTTGCAGGTCTTCGAGAAGCTGAGGCAGAAACTCGACCCGCAGGAGCAGGCGAAGCGGGATCAGGAAGCAAACGCTCGGATACACGCGCAATATGAGAGAGCACAAGCTAGAGTTGCGGAGCTGGTACCATTGACTTCCATTGCTCGACCATCTCTAGCCAGTTCTGATTGCGCGCATAGGTCGGAAGCAACTCAACCCTTCCCGTCACCATATCCTCCGTCCGGGTACTTCACGCGACACATACTCGGAGAGGCTTTCTCGAACGAATCTTCAATCCCCTGCTGAGCGCCAACAAGGACGGTCCTCAGACGCTTGAAGATGTCCTTCAAGAAATCCATACCGCTGCGGACAAGCTGAAACGTTTTGGTACAACATGGGCCCGATTCACCCACGCCATACACAGACACTGACAGTATTCAGACATCTTCAAGCCCCCTATCTCCATCTTCATCGACAAGCCTGACCCCTCGAACCCCTCCACCACGCCCACCGACATCGACGTCTACCTCTCCGCCCGTGAGAAGTCCCGTTACACCATCCGCACCGGCACCGAAGCCGGTCACGCCGAAGGCTCCGCCTACCTCAATGGCACCTTTCGAAACATCTTCGGCGGCGCCGAGACCCTCAATATTGGCGGCTCTTTAGGCACACGCACGCGATCAGCCTACTCCGTCGCTTTCGACACGCCCGTCCTCAGCAATCCCGACCTACTCTTGGAGCTCGGTGGCATGTCGAGTTCGACACTAAAGAACTGGGCAAGCCATGAGGAAGTCCTGAAGGGCGGCGCGACGAAGCTGAAATGGATAGCGGGCGGAGGTCACAGGCACGAGCTTGGCTATTCGGGCAGCTGGCGGCAGATAACGGGACTAGCTGAGAACGCGTCGCCTACCGTCCGCGCGGACGCAGGAGACAGCTTTAAGAGCAGTGTCTCGCATACTTGGATCAATGACCAGCGAGATACGCCGCTGCTACCATCGAGAGGCTATTTCTTGAAGTCGACCACCGAGATTGCTGGCTTCGGTCCGCTCAAGGGCGACGTCGGCTTCGGGAAGCTCGAGTTGGAGAGTCAGGCTGCGATTCCGATACCCGTTCCAGGTATCGAAGGCGAAAGCGGCGTATCGTTTACCGCTGGACTGCGAGCGGGCATGCTCTACCCGCTCACAGTCGGCGGCGGCGACATCCCAGTCCAATCACGTATCAACGACCGGTTTCAGCTCGGTGGACCTACCGACGTCCGCGGCTTCCGGCTTTCAGGCCTAGGACCCCGAGACGGGCCCAATGCCGTCGGCGGAGATGTTTACGCCGCTGGTGGCGCCAGTTTACTTATACCGCTTCCGCGTGTTGGTAAAGACACGCCATTGCGGCTGCAGGCATTCATCAACGGCGGTCGGTTACTGGCGCTCAAAGGCAAGCCGAAGGAGGGCGTCATGGACAGCGATGCGGTTGCGGACGGCATGAAGCGGACGCTCAGGGAGGTGACGACTGGGCTGCCGAGTTGCGCGGCTGGGCTTGGGCTGGTGTACGCGCACCCGATGGCGAGGTTTGAGCTGAATTTCAGCTTGCCGCTTGTGCTGAGGAAAGGAGAGGAGGGGAGGAAGGGGGTTAGCTTCGGTGTTGGTATTAGTTTTTTGTAGGCTGCACATAAAGTACTCTTATGCTGTCTATATTGATTTGCTTGGCTGTTGTGGCGGAAATGAACTTCGTTCCGCAACTAGAGTAATCAAACAGTAAAAAAGGCTGCGGTTTGCCAACGACACACAATGCGACCCATGGAAAAGTGACTGTAAAACATATGGAGTTGCACAAGGGAGCGGTTGGCTCAAGTAAACCTAAAACAAAGAAATGCAAGCGAAAACTTAGCAGCGCTCCATGCCGAGACTGCAGACCCTATGTCGTTTCATTGCCTTATCAGGCTTGTTGAGATACTGAAGGACATAGCATAAGGCCACTCGTAACCTTCAGCCTCCAGAGCGGGAGATCGACGGTGGCGCCGCATCGTGCAGATCCGTTGCACAAGCGCTCCCGAGCAAACGCAAGGCAACTTCAACGACATGATGAAACTCAAAGGCTGACTTCCAGATTTCACTGGAGTCCCCTCTTTATACCTTATTTATTGTAAGAAGAAAAGGCCAACAACGCAGGGATTGATCGAATCCTTGCCTCTGTAGATGCTCAGCATGAGCCTGCAGCCTGCAAGTAAGAAGAAGGAGCATTGGATGGCACTTGAATGACTTGGAAAGAGAAGAAAGAAGCCACTATCACGACATACGAAGGAATACTCACCACCGCTCTACTCTGCTACCCCCGAAAGGGTACCCAGGCGACAGGACTTGGACCTGTAGAGTCGGATTTGACGCCCGAGGCTACTCCCATGGACAAGCGAATGCCAGGTTTCACCCGCCCCTCCGGTTTTACCCTTTGGGACTCGCGGATGCTTAAAGAGCGCAGAGCCGCTAGTATGCTGGGGCTAAAGCTGTTCAGGAGACAAGCGAGCGCTCCTTACTGGGCCCGCCGGTTAGTGGGGATTCGCACGCATGAAAGCCGTCCAGGTACACCTGCGAACTAGCGCTGGGACTGTAAGGTTGGCTTCCCATGCGTGCTAGGGAAAACAAGCCCTCCACTGAGTTGGCCCTGGTGATCACACGCTGGGCGCTGCAGTTTCGGACCGGCCATTCCCCTCCCGACTGAGAACAAAGGAAATTCGTAAGATAACAAAGGAAATACGTCTAATACTCACCCGCTCCTTCCTCCTGGACTGTCGACAGCTCAAAGCTGTCCCTCCTACCGCGCGGCCTCCCACCAGCTTTCACCGGTGCAGGCGCCGGTGTCGCTCCTCCCAGCTTTTTCACACCCAGTTGCTGCTTGTGCAGCCTCTCAGGCCCGTATGGGGGTTCTGTGGACCAGTTTTTCGGTAGTGGCCCCTTCCACCCTGGCTGTCGAATTTCATTAAGGGCGTCTTCGACCCGAAGTTTGTCGGCATGACGCTGTGGGCGGAACACACGCCTAAAGAAGTCTCTGACCTTCGTGCAAACACCCATGGTTGTTTGTGATGGCAGAGAAGAAGTTGTTGTTTGAAACTGCTAATATTCCCGTTCGTGTGTTCTCAAGTTTGTATCGCGGTGAGATATGCAGTGGTGTGGAGAGGAAAAGAAAAGCAGAAAGATCGGGGGGTGGGCGAGGCTTTATGGACGAAGCACCGATGTGGGCTGCACGGCCCAATCACTTCCGATGCCGTTGATCCATGGACCAAGAAGATCTTTGGATTGGAAATAGTCGGCTACGTGTGGAGAATCGCCAGCCCCGCTGACCTCTGTGCACCTTGGGGCGGGGCTAGACTAACGAGCGCAGCAGCCAATACCGCCTTCCGCGTAGTCATCCTCGCCGCAGCACCAACAAATTCAAACCTCTTAGACCTGTGCTGCAACTTCTGCAAGACGCTACACGGTATCTACAGCGTCTCCCGACCCGAAATGCGCATTCAAGACGGCCACACGGCCTGGCCCTGCACGATGGCATGCCTCAGTCCGTTGCGCGTTGCACCTTCCATTCCGCACCGTGTCCGTGCCGACGGGTCGGCCCTCGCTGAACCACGGTTCGCTTATCGGGATTTTCAGCGCATGATCTCCAACCCCACTTTGTGACCTTCTGATTTAAATCCCAACGTCGATTGGCCAGATGGATGCTGCGTTGATTTCAGATGTCGTCACTTATCGGATTGTATTCTGGCCGAGTATACCGAACAAGGAAAGCGTAGGTAACAGACGAAACCTGCAGAAAGGTAGGAGCATTCCAGCCTGAACATACCACAAGATTCTTGCAGCTCTATATCACCGTAACGGCAGAGGCCTTGCACATGTCGATAGCATCTTACGGCGACGCCACTCTCCAGAACTTTGGTAATAAAGTTGAGTATCGCATCGACATCAATCGCACTGCCGGGGGCCGGCTGGAAGATACCTGACGTTCTTTGTAGACAGCGAGACCTGTGTATGCAACTGCAGGAAGATTGTAGGACAAGCGCAATCGTAAGTACATAGTGCAGACATCGGATCAATGATTGCGCATCGGATTACCTTAGCCATCCGAGCACACTCATACAACGGCTCGCATACCGAAGCCGGAGCGGTGCGCCTCGAGGTGATCGCTGATGCTGAATTCTAACATGCGAGTATTTCAGGCGCATGACATGTGTGCAGACTATTTGGTCTCCACTGCTCCGTGATGTGGGCGGTTTGTGCTAATACTCGCGGACCTCCAGCAGGAAAGATCCCACACATTGGGAGTCGGCTATGTCTAGGCTGGTGGACGACTGGCCGATGTCATGTAGTGTTAATCTAGCGCGATACGAGCCTTGTGAGGCCATTTTTGAGCTAGAAAAAGTGCCGCCCTAATTCCAGTTTCAACTCCGACATGCGGCTTTGCCTAACATAGCAGGTCCTCGTAAAAACTTTCAACCCCAGCTTTGTCTAAAACCGTGCATCAGACCGGAACCCGAGTACCTGGTCTGCGATCATCAAGCGAATGGCGGGCTGTTTCTCCGCATGACAGGCGACGTGCACGGGCCCTTTGGTGGTTGCCCTGCCTTCCACACGGCTCCATCCCCATTTGCAACGTTCGTATTGCAACCAACAACCGTATTACGATGCTGTAGATCCTTCAATTTAGGGGCCGAGTTGGCGTAGGGCCCTTCCCATCCGCTACTTGCCCGCACGTTCCTCACCCTCGAGTTCACTCTTGTCCGCTCTACATACTCAAATTACACTCATAGCTTCTGAACCGGCAACTGCATATGTCCTGTGGATCGCTGATTCTTGCTGATTGTTTAGTGAGTGTCCCAAAGCCCGGAGTGAGCCCTCTGTATATCACGCTGAGGTCTGCGAGGCTCTATGCTCTAAAACTCTCTTCCATCTCTCAGTCTCCATATTCCGTTCATGCGTTTCTAAATATAGAGAGCCTCGTACCTGAATATTAAGCATCGACTCACTACCAGACGATACACATCAAAGGTCAATCGCCCTGTGGACCTATCGAGATTCGACACTGCCTTATGCGGCCCGCTCAACATGCTTGTGTGTCCGATTGGCTTCTTCTCCACGGCTTGTACTTCTCCGATACCACTTTTCCACATTGCGCGCGGCTTCATCCACAAACGCGACGCAGTAGTACAGGCTTCGACTGAATACGAGGCGCTCATCGCGTAGAGCGCTTACGACATCTTATTCGCTGTTCCCCTTGCTGGACGCCTTGTGCTAGTTGTAATCGCGCGCACTTCCGAAGATAGACTGAGGAGAAGGCGTACGCGGGACAGTGCCTTCGAATCCGCCAAGTCTGGACCAGACAATACAAGAAGGCGCAAATGTGCGCTCTGAACCGTAGAAACCACCTGCGTGCCTACTGCAATATCCACACAACAGAGAGTTCTCGCACAAGATACAGTTCGCGCCACACAACTCTTCCACGACGCACAACTGACCGACACTCCCAGCAACCGTTATGAAGCCCTCCCTCCTTCCCACCCTCCTCGCCATCAGCGCCACCGCCTCGGCCTGGGAAGTCGGCTTCTGGGGCCCCAGCGGCAACTTCCAGCGATCCGGCAACACCACCAACAGATGCCTGACTACTCCCCCCATCCGTATCGGCCAAGTTACGTTCGATGCTCGGACGGATAATGCCCCAGATCCGACCAGAATCATCGTCTATGCCAATACGGACTGCCTGAGTGATATTCTTTACCAGGGCTGTCCGAGCAGGATTAGGAGGCCGGCGCAAACGCCGGGGGTTGCGAGGGCTTTCAGGGTCCTGTGAGTGTCTGCATCTTTGCTCGGTCTTGTCTGAATGCGTGAGTCGGTGGAGAGAGCTGTGCTGATGAGAGGTGTCCAGTTATTCCCCATCGACGTGCTTCGGTTGCCCTTGTTGATCTGCGGTGTATTGAGAACTGGTGGATGCAGCAGTATTAGTGTGCATCATGGTGAACACGAGGGGGTGCGCGCTTCTTAGTGACTCGCTCGCTCTATCCGTGCTACAATCTGTACTAGCTTGAAGAAGCAAGTCTCCTCGCGTTAAAGGAACTCTATCTATAGTGATTTACCTTGTAGTCAATAACAGCGAGGGCTGTCCTCTGTCCCATCTTGCTGAGTGCTCTATGAACTCAGGCTTTGTCCCGTCTCCAAAAACTATCCCAAACTCCTTCTCACTTCGAGCACGCGTAGGACTCTGCGGCCTGCCAACATGCCAGTCACTCATTGCTCTTATATAATATCTGCAGCCAAGGTCAAACTTCAATCACACAGTGGCCATCGAAGTCCGCAAGGATCTTAAGACGCCTAAGAGAAGGGCAAAAGAAAAGCTCAAAAACGTATAGTAGTAGGTATTCGCTAGTGATTACCCACCTATCTATTAAATATGTACCGCTAACTTCTATCTTACTTTACCCGTTCTAGCGGGTGAGTAAGCTCGCGCGATTAGGGGGTGGTAAACTTACCCTATCACCTGCTTGGAAGAGGGTATGACAAGAGTATGCTGTTGCAACATTCCCTACTTCATCTCAAATCCGCCTTGTTCTATTTATAATGGCACAAGCCCGTCCTTGTCAATGATCTTGCCCACTTGATCATCCCTCTCCCCTTCTACAACCTTCTTGTACAGCACGCCGCCCTCGCTCGGATGCCCACCGCCCATCCCCTTGACCTTCTCCTTCATATTTCCCAGGTTCGTAGCCAGGAAGCCAGGCCCGACACCCCAGACCTTGACGCCATCTGCCTTCAACTTGTGGTTCCAGTCCAGCATCAGCATGTTAAGCGCCGTCTTGCTGCAGCGGTATCCGATGGTCTCAAAGTCGATCTGCTTGGGCCAGCCGGCCGGCTGAGGCGGCGTCGGGAAGTACGGGCCCTCGTTTGCCACCGTCATATGGGAGAGACCGGCCACGAAGAGCAGGCGGGGGTCGGCCGACTTTAGCAGAAGCGGCATGAACGTCCAGCTGGTGATGTGCGCGCCGGTCACGTTGACGTCGTAGGCCTTGTTGAAGCAGTCACGGAGAGAGACATTGCCGGCGACGAATTCCGGGTCGAAGGTGGCGCCTGGGAATGTTAGTGGAATGTTATAGGATAGAGGGGGGTGCGTACCCGCGTTGTTGATGAGGGCGTCGACGTGCCCTGGATTGGCCTTGACCTGCTCGAAGGCCTTCTTGATCGACTCGTCACTGGTCACATCGAGAGCGAGCGCTTCAACGGTGTTCTTCGCGCCTGGGCATTCCTTCTTGATGCTCTCCACGGCGCCCGTGGCCTTCTCCAGCGAACGAGCCGCGAGAAGAACGTGGTAGGGCTTGTGGGCCTCCAGAAAGATCTTGACGGCCTCGTAGCCGACGCCACTATTGCCGCCGGTGATGAGAACAACTTTTGGGGACGCCATTGCTGTGATTTGCTCCGAGTTATTTAGCTCGCCTGACTACTACTCTACCAATTTGAAGCTTATGTACGGCATAGGATACCTAGCACTCTTTATTCTATAGCCGCACGTGAAAGCAAAAGGTAGGCTATTTAGTAGATACTGCGAATACATTTTGAGCTCGAGGAGTAGACTTTAGAGCTGGTGGGACCAGCTGATCGTAGTTCGGCCTCACGGCTGTGCAACAGCTGCTGGAGATTTGCCAGCCAGTTCCTCAAAATTCTGATGCACTTTCGTCATGTCTTGCTTCGTTTCTGCAAACATTCCCAGCCCCTGGAGATCTTGCGATGTGTGGCTGGGAAGTTGCTAGCGAGCGGTCTGAGGTTTTGCCAACAACAATGGGTGGCTGTAGGCTCCGCTGCGTAACTCACCATGATTAGGGAGAGCTCTTGATGCATTTTGGACATATTGTATGGCCTGCAACAACACGCGAATGCTATCCACATTTTCTTGACTTTGAAACTCAAAGCGCAAAACACGTATTCATGGCTACAAACTGGGTATCCCGATCCCAAACTCCCTGCTCAAGACCTACCCAATTGCTTGAGCTTCAAACAACGATCCACTGCTCAACTAGCTCGTCTCCGCCCCGCCGTCTCCGCAGGGCCACTCTCAACATGCTGCAACCAAGCCCCCACCCTTCCAGCGCCAGTTCCACCACCGTCATCCGCTAGTCCCGCCATAGCCGACGCATCAACGCTCCCCCTGCTCGACTCCCCTGTACCACTGTCTTGTCTCGCTGCCTGCCTTCGCCCAAACCAGCCCCTGCTGCGCTCCGCAGTCGTCCTCGACCGCCTCAGCGCGGGCCGTCCATCATTCCCGGGCGTGACCTGATAGGTCTCGTTCATGTGGTGCGTGCCTGCGTTGCCAAGACCGTAGACTTCGGCATCGATGGCCGCAGGATCGGGTTCGGCAGCGCCATGAAGGTCGGCGCCAAGATCTGCGAGAGCAGCAGCTTGCAGACGGCGGGCGAGAGCCTCGTCGGCTGTTTCTTGGCGGCGGCGACGGGCAAATTCATCCTCGTTATTCGGTTGCGGACGAGGCGGAGGCGGATTATTGTCTGGGCCGGCGGGCGGAGGCCCCCAAATTACCCCTGGCGGAGGTGGAGGCGGTGGCGGCGGAAAGTGACGGAAAACCTGTCTCACTTCCTGTGGTACGTTCATGTAAAGGCGATCGGCCTCATCAAGCTGAGTATAGTTGAACCACGGACAGCTGCACGTCTTCCAAACCTCACCACACAGCATGCAGAATTGGGCTGTGCAGCGGCATGTCATGTGGTTACAACCTTCCTTCAGCTCGACCATGGCCTTGCAGTTGTAGCAGCGCCGCCAACCGTTTTCTTTGGCAATCTCGACAAACTTCTTCGTCTCCTCGTCCCGAGGGCATTCTTTGCGGGTGTGCCATTTGCCGTTGCAGAGTACGCAGACCTTGGTCTTACATTTGCTGCATTTCCCGCACTTGCGGCCAGCGGCGGTGTCCATGCGGATGTTGGAGGGATCGATCCACTGGCCGCAGCCACGGGTAGGGCAGTATATGCGGTTTTTAGTGGTATACTCCTCGTACTTTGTGTTCCACATAATCTTGAACTTGTCATCGAAGAGACGGTCGACGTGTCTCAGGGGGATGGGCTTGGATGTGCAGCACCTCGGCGGCATGTGCTGCGGGTCAGATGCGGACAGGGTGAACTGTCGCTTTAAACATGCATGGCACATTCGATGACCGCAGGAGAGGCGGGCAGCTCGGTTGGAAAGGATGTCGTCCGCCAAGCAAACGACGCATTCGACCTTCTCTGGTGGGGCTGGTGGTGGAAGGGGCTTGATGCCAAAGAGAGAACCCAGGAGACCAGTGCTCTTTCGGCGCTCTTTCACGGGCGATGTGGGTGCGCTTCTCTTCGCCGCAGTAGCGGGCTCTCCAGCGTTGGACTTCGTAGCAGTAGCGGTGATGGTTGAGCTGCGAGCGCGAGCAGTCGTCCTGCTTCGACGTATTACCGGCTTGGTGGAGGACGCACGATGTGTGCCGCTCAAAGACTTTGCTCTTTCTGGCCTTTGAGCGTCTGACTGCCTGATGCTCCCAGTACTAGTGTCTGCAGCTGGTCGACTGTACACGTAGACACTGCTGTCTTCCCGTTCCTGCTCTTTCGCCCGTCTCTTGGTATCATCGTGGGGTTTGCGCCGGTGTTCCCTGCCACTTCTCCTGGATATAGTCCGGGTGGATTTTGGTCTAGAGAACGTGGCTCGAGTTGCGCCAGGATCCTCGCTTTGGCGCTCCTCTACCGGTCTGCTATAGAACGCCTCCCGCGCTCGTCGTATCTCTGCTAAGTCCGGCGCAGAATTCGTGGCGGGCCCGGACACCGCACGACTGGCGTTGCGGGCAACATCTTCGCTGTCTGGAGGTCTCGAGGATCTGCGCGATGATCTACGGCGGCGTTCATGACGATGTACGTCTCTGCTTCCTGCAGCCATGAGTTTGTTCGCCCCATGGTGTGTTCGAGGCAGCGAGCTGATGTTTGATGTTGGCCGTCGAGAGCAGCCAATCAGTCTTGGTGAGCCCGAGCGCACGTTTGTCAGCCCTGTCAGATGCCCTCGATTGCGCCGTCCGGTCTTGAGCCAGATTCGCCTCCTGAGCCAAGCAACCCTGAGTTTTCTTACCATCGACAGCCTTATCGCGCTGCTGGAGACGGGATAAGGACGAATAAAGGGAAGCAGACGCCAAGTGCGACCAGATAGGCATGTTTACCGATTGAAAGTTAGGCTTATATAAAAGTGTATATAGTAACTCTATAGGAGGCTTCCGCCAGAGCCCTCCCATCTAGTGTCTGCTTAGATCTCGAGGACTCTTGCCGTGTGCGATTCAAAACTGCTCGTTGCTCTGGCTTTTCCAAATCTTACCTCGTTAACCTTCACAATGATACTGAACCCACAGACCCTTCTGCAGCATTAATTTCTACAAACCTACAACACTTCGATGATCTGCTCATCTTCGTCACTCTCCACCTCCGTGATCGTATCCACTCCGTCTTCCTTCCCCTCTCCCTCCTCGTCCCTCATAATGACCTGCACAAACCGGTCACATGCCTCCCTCACTCCTTCGTCATCAGTATGGAGATGGAGCTCCCGAACAATCGGATATACCCTGATCGACCTCGGCACATCCCGCCCGCCTCTTGTGGTTGTCAGCAATAACAGCGTCTCTAAATGCGTCTTGATGATCTCCGCATCCGGCTCCCTCTCCTTATCCGGCGGCAACAGCTGTAGATCCTCTAGCATGCCTTCTGTGTCTTCCTCGCTGTATTCCTCCGGGCCCATGAGCGGCAAAATAATATACGGCAGGAGATTAACCCCATCAGCAGCCAACAGCGTCGGATGCGCCGATACCTCGAATGCCACGTTCTTGATTGTGCTTGCCACTCCACGCCGCCTGATGACCGACTTATGTTCCGTAAAAACGGTGAGCTTGGTCAGCGGGATTATTTCTTGGTCGCGGCTCTGCGGCGTAATGAAGTAGGCTCGGCCCTCCGGGTGCTTAGCCATGTCGGCGAAGAAGTAGGCCAGGTAGTCGAAATCTGCGTGCTTGTTGTAGCTGCCCGCAGCACCCTTGACGAAGAGGTCTAGCAGCTGGTCCATGGCGTTCTTCGAGCGTGATAGCGGACAGGGTGCTACGGACCGGGTGAGGTTTAGGATGCGAACGAGCGAGGAGTGTTTTATGAGGTTGGCGAGGAGCATGGCAATCTCATTTGCATTTGGTTCATCAGGGTTCTGGAGGTTGATTGTTGGCCGTGGTTCTGAAACAAGGAGAATACGAAGAAGGGCCTAGAGAGCCGTGGAGAACTGACATACTGTTATCCTTTGCAGGAGCGACTCAAGAAAGGCATCGTCCTTTGCCAGGTTCTGAAGAACTTCTTGGTCATCCGATATGTTGATCAAGATCGTCAGGGCATTTTTAGCTATAGGCTGGTGCAGATCCGTCAGCATCTCTGCCATGGTTTCGCTGATTTTCAGGGCTTGCGCATACCGCGTAGTCCTTGACAAGAAGCTTGAGGTCTTTGACGGGCGTCAGCTGGCCAGTTTTGAAGATAGCAGGCTGAGCAGAGGAGTATCCGACCAGGTGTTCGGCCGCTGCGATACAGAAAATGTCAGCGAAAGATAGCATTGCTGCTGGCGCATTGAGGGCCAGCCTACCGACTTGACGGATCTGAGTATTGCCATGGTGGAGGAACTCGACTAGCTGACGGATAACTAGTCAGTCATACACATCTCAGAGCGCCGAGTGATACGCCGCACCTCTTCCAGTTCGGTAGGCATAATGATACAGGCGGGGTGTTCGCGATGATTTCGAAAATCGGGCGTCACCAAAAAAAATCGGTATCTAGGTGTCGATAGAGGCTTTCTTATCTTAGCGCCATCTCGCCATCCCCAGATCTTGGCACCACGAAGCTCGAGTGTCTTGAGTTTCTGCACTCTCCCTTCCTTCGCACCCAGCGGCAGCTCTTGGCTAGGTAATCTGGCCATCCTCTGTTTGTCATATCTCGAATCCAAGATTCATCACTCTATCTGGAGGAGTGATAAGCGGTATAGGCGCAGAGTTATGTCATTACGCCAGTAGTGCTTCAAGCCGCTTTTCGTACGGTAAGGACCACAACTCTTTCCATTTGCAATTCTTCCCGATTGTTTGTGCATCTTCATGAGCGGATATCTTCTCTCCACCGTGAGATTGCACTCTTTTGATTCTACGCTGAACCGACGTATCCGCGCGTGGAGTTCAGCCACTACGCGCTCCACAGCTGCCGCTTTCCTTATCTCCAAGTCTTTGTACATTGGAGCGCTCGCCATCTAGATGCCACTCTGCTCAGCACATCTGCTGTTACTATTTACGCGCCGCCGAAGATGCGGGTGTGCGGCCAGCCAGAAGTTGGTCGTGCACTGTCCAGTCACGGCGCTACAACCCCTGTGAGGCTCGTCGTGAGGTGCGGGCGCTTATGCAGGAACACCGTTCAGCCAACCACTACGAGACCATCAGGCACATCAAGTGCCTGCCGAGAGCGCCATGCACTGCAGCGCGAAGATCAATGCATGTGCATTTGGAGCCGCTATTGATTCCCGGTGGCCCTAATGGCGACCCATGCTTCGCGGCCGTCAAGGTCGGCCGTCTTATAACCACTTGTCTCGCCCCCAGACTTGTGGACCATATATGATCTATGTATCTTGAGTACAGAGTCTTTGTAGTGTAGCCAGGCTATCCCTACTTTATCTCTACCCACAAGTCACCAAGTGTTTCCGAGTATACAGGTCTCCTGTCAGCCTTCTTGCGGCATCATGACTTCGAGCGTGTCATTGCAGCTTTTCCCACCACCCCAGAAAAAGGTCAAGAGATCGCTCAGTCGCAAAGCATCAGTCAAGCAAGCTGCGCCAGAGCCCGTTGTTGAGCGTATGGAGCGAGCCAAGTCGCCGGTCGACTTCCACGAACTCGTCATTCAGGTCAGCTCGCCTGCCGCTGCATCGCCAGTTTCAATTCCGCCTACGGCGTATGTTCTACAAGCGCCACCAGAGCAGCATGTACCGGCTTCCGATGCGTTGGATCGAATAAAAGCAGCTTCCCCGACCCGAAGTACGACGCACGACCGAGCGGCGTCGCCCTCAATATCGCAAGCTCGCTCAGCACATCGGACACGGACAAGCTCGCCCATCTCGCGGCAACATGCTGCGACGCCTTCACTTTCGGAGGTTTACTCACTCCGTTCAGGCAGTCCTACGCTTGTGCGAAGTAACAGCGCTGCAACCTCTCAAGCTCTGCGGAGCCCTGGCGAGGCTCCCCTGATGCAATCCATTTTTCCGCGTTACGATTATGGCAGGCGGTTATCGCAGCAACAGTATCGTCCCACCCAAGCGTCACCAACACACATACCTCGTGATAAGATCAGCAAAGCACCTTACTCGCCCGGCTTCTATTCACCACACGGCGACTTGTTGAATGGAGAAGCTAGCGGTAGCTCATCGGCTGCTTTGGAGTTTACCCCAGCTGGCGAGCTCTACCCCCTTTGGGATGCGGCAAACGGACAAGGAACACCCATAGCCGCACAGAAATACACCCTGCAGATGCATCGTCCGCTGGACGCATCATCGTCAAACGCGCCACCGAACCACTCGCAATTCGTCTTCGGGCCCTCTCAATCCCAAGCCTTCTACAGCTTAACGAAATCTTCGTTCCTTGAAGCGTACTCCAGTGGCGCCGAGAGCAACGATGCCAGCATGGACCAAGAGCTGCTGATACAGCGCCACCACCCAAACAAGCCCATGTCTTTCCCAATCGCACACCTAACGCTCCGGACACCACCTCCAGCCCTGAGCCTATCAACCTCCCAGCCCTCACAAGAAGTACAACCCTCCCTGATCACATCGATCTACCCCAAGCTTGCCGCGCTCTCCGCGCTTGAGCTTGCCGCTCAGTCACCCACCGCGTCTTCACTCGCGCTCGTGGACCCAGAAGCGACATCCCCCGCCGCGGCCCAGCTCGCCGCTGAGGCCGTGCAGGAAGCTGCTGTTCGCGAGTGTTGCGCGCTCACATGGACGCCCGCCGCACCTGGTGCATCGGCTCGGTCCGGCGCGTATGAACTGCAGCATCCTAGTCTGGGCATCTTCCCAATCAAGGTGCAAGGCGATGTCGGCCACGGCTTCTCCTCAGCGCGCTCGAAATCTGCAGCCAGCATCGTCATCCGCTGTCCCGCCGCTCATGATAAGGACGACGATGCCGACAAAGAGTCGCAGAAACCCAACGGTCTTAACAACAGCGACGACAGCGGCACCCCTCTTGCTCGGCTTGACCTCTCAGCCGACGCCCTAACCGTCGATGCAGGCGCGATAATGCGCCTCGGCAACGCCTACCTCATCGACGTCGCCGTTTCCGCCATCCTAGCCGTCGCCGTCGCAGAAGCGAAGAGGAGAGCCGAGACGGTGAAGACGTCGTTCGAGGGACCACCAACAGCCGCCGCAAGGGGATCGCCGAAGCTAGCCGCGAAGGAGCTGAAGAAGGCCAAGAAAGCAAGGGGGGTGCAGAGAGAGGGGGACGTTGAGGCTGGTATGGCCGCGGAGAAGGATCAGGAAGGGGAGGAGCTACCTACAGCAACGAGGGCGGTTCTTAAAGTGTTGAGGGTCGGGTTCAAGACCGCGGTGTGGGTCTTGGAACTCGCCATGAAGATCTTGACGAAGATGGTCGTGGTGGCTACGAAGTGCGTCCAGAAGGCGTGATTGCGGAGGCTCGCAGGAGAAAGCTTGTACAGGGTTTCTTGTTACCTGGCACTGAGATTAAGCCGGGTTGTCCGTGGGATGTTATCAGCAGGGGAATTAGGTGCGGAGAGATGCGCACTGCCTCAGAGCTGCACATGTAGCATAGAACACCCCCAATTGACGCAACGATATGCATGGGGATTAGAGTTGCAGAATGCATGCGAGGACGACGTCGGAGCGGATGTGCGGTCAAGGCCGTACCGCGTGTCATACGATGTCGTGTCGCGCTGCGTAGGAAGCTTAGAGCAATACTATGTCTTTATCCTCCACGACTTCTTGGACGGCTTGGGCCAAGAAACTTATACATGTTCACAAGGCTACACGGCTAGTATGACCACAGGGAGTTGTGTGATAGAAATGACCAGTCTAACACCGCAGATTCAAAGGGATGTAGAGGAGACGGAAAGGTAGATTTTGTGTGGTTATATGGTACTGTTCATGCTACAGACGGATGAGCGCCGCTGCGGAGCCCGGCCTCTCAGCAGAACAAAGAGGCGGTCCGACTACCCTGAGCACACCCTCTGCATACTGAACGCGACGATGCAAACGATTCCTTGTCCTCTTTGCCGCCTCCCCGAAACCGCCTGACCCAGCCAGATGATGCACACGCAAGCAACAAAAAGTCCTTCCAGCCGTCTCCCCACCAGTGCACCAAAAGCAGCCTAGTGTGAGGCAGCCACGCTTTTCCTCAAAGTATATCAATCCCTCTGGAAGAACATCTTAGTCTTATTATCGAACCTCGAGTGCTGCTTCAGAAGCTGCACAAACTCCATCGGCCGGGCCTTGGTGCGATCCCTGAAAGCAGCGATGATGTCTTTCATCGAGATGCCCTCTGGCGGGATCTTCGCCATGATCTCGGCGACGGAGGGGAGGGGTGCTGTTAGGGGATGTGAGGTTAGCAAAACGCTTTTACTCCAAACAGAAAGAGAGGAGACGGGGTGACCGGAGTAAAGGATGAGTCCGGTGAAGAAGACATGGAAGAGTATGCGCAGACACATACCATTAGCGGATGGACTCCCCGCCCTACTCCCATTCGGCCTCCCACCAGCCACCGGACTCCCAGCACGACTCCCATTCGGCGTGCCGTTCGGCGACATGCGGATCTTGAGTCTCGGCTTCCTCCCGCCGTCCGTAGCCGTAGCCTCGGTGTCGCTTCCCGAGCCGGCGGCCACGCGCATGGCGATCGAGGGCTTGCGGGAGCCGACATCAGGACGGCTGGGCAGTGCTGAGCTGGTATCCTGGTTGTTCTTCTTGACCTTCTTGCGCCGCGTTGACTCGTTGCCGCTGGCGTCGGAGAGGTTGGGCGAGCCGGGGCGTTTGAGGGATGCGAGTTTCGCTGGCTGCTCGGGTTGCTTGGGGCGGCCGGTGGGAGTGTTTGTACCTTTGGTGGAGGCACCGGAGGGGGGCTTGTCGGATTTTGCCTTGTCTTTGTCTTTGTTTTCGGCGAGGGCTTTGCGTTCTTCCTCGCGGCGTTTTTCTTCTTCTTCCTTTCGCTTTGCTTCGTCTTCGGAATCGCTCTGTGGGCATGTTAGCTTGATTCTGTAGAGAGCTCGAAGTACAGATCAGCCACCTCATCCGTGTAGTTCTCGTCATCCTCGTAGTTGTAATCCTTCTCTCGCTTGACGAGCGCTTTACGTGTGTCTCTCTCGAGCTTCTTCTTGAGCTCCTCTCCCTTCTTCTGTTCCTCTTCCTCCTGCCAGGCACGTTGTTCGTTTCCCAGCTCGAACACGTTTGCCTTTAACTGCTCCTTCTTGAGCTTCTCCTCCGTCTCCTTGATATCCACCTCATCGTCGGCCCCAAACATGTCCCTCTCCTCGTCATCCTGAAACTCCTCGCCGAGCTCAAAATCAATAACGTCGGCATCCTCGACGTCGCGTTTGCCGGCAAAGAAGCTGGTAGGCTTCGCGTCGTCCTGCTCACCAGGCCGCTTGATTCTGGGGCCCAGGAATTTCCTCTCCTCTTCATCCGCTGCTTGCTTAGCGCGGTGCCTGGCAATCGTGCCCAGTATACCCGATTGAGCAGTTTCCTCCTTTACTCCAGCCCCTGACGGAGGCGGGGGCTGCTTCTCAACCCTTGACTTGGCTGTGAAGTTGTACCACTTCTCGAGAGGCAGCATGCGAAATTGGCCAGTTTCCTCAGGGAGCAACAAGACGTGGCACCCTGACAGCGCTGCCTCATAGGTTCCGACATACAAGCGCTGGCCGCTGTCGTCCTCGAGGTGCCACGGCAGGGCCTCCTCGTACCGCAGCTGCTGCCTCTTGATGGCCTCCGGTGTGTCGTTGGTCCGGAAGAGCTGCTCGGTCTTCTTTTGGAACGGTCCCGTCCGCGCAGCTCTGTTGTTCTTGGCGCTCGGCGCGATCTTGGCCTGGTTTTCCTGGCGTTTCCGCATCCTCTCATCCTTCAGCGCCTGTTGTTGTTCACGCTGTTTGTCATCCTCGTCACCGTCCTTCTGGTCGCCGTCTTTATGCAGACCTGAATCGTCGTCGAGACGTCGGCGGTGTAGCGAGATGGGTCGGACGAAGCCCGCGGTGGAGGGGTCTTCGCTGCCGTCTTCGGATTTGGTACGTTGCTGCGTCAGGTCGATGGTGCCTGGAGCTCGGAGTCGCATAACGTGATGGCGCAAGCTTTTGATAAGGTCTTTCCGTGTAGTCACCACTGGGAACAGCTGTGCGTCTGCGGGGACGGGCGGTGGAGCGGCGGGCGCGAAAGCGCTGGTGGAGGGTGTGCTTCTACTGCTAGCAGTTCCAGGGGGGCCGTTCGTACTGCCGGCTGGCGGAGGAGGTCTCCGGGCTGGCGGTCTTCTTGCGGCAACGAGTGGATTGGCTTTGAGTCTGCGGGGGGGGATCGCGTTGGACGGAGCGCCATTAGGCGTCGAGCCTGGCGGAGGAGCAGGCGAGGCGCTCATTGTGAGGTGACAAAGAGCTGGTGGAGGATGCAGAAATGCCGCCGCCTGGCAGGGCGCGAAGCTGCGGAAGATGTCAAGTTCAAAGCTCAGGCGGCCGCCATGTCATGGGCAATTGAGTGTTCTTTGCAGCTGGGGAATCCGAGAGTTGTCACTGTGGCGAGGGCAGCGTCACTGCTTAGTGTTGACAGAAAGGACGGGGAGAGGGGGCAAACAAGTGGGTGGAATGGGTAGAATGGCTTTGTCCGCGAGCGTCGCCTGAAGGGGACGTTCGGTTCACGATGAACACATAGGAACAGTTCCCCGCTTATTCATAAATTACGGCTCCGTATCACAGTGTGTTCTAATAAGGTGCGGCTCTAGTGCAGCCACACCCGTTGTCGGGCCCGTTGAAGGTTGCTGCGAGCCCCGAGCGCCGGGCACTTCAACCTGGAATTCACCTTGGAGCCAAAACCTCCACCATTAACTGTCCGGGACGGGTGTGAGAGGGAGCTATCATCCGAGAATGAGCAACGTTTCCAATAAACCCTGAGGTGAAAGCTAATGCTGTAGCTGATGTGGTATATCCCCAAATTTCCTCCCCGTGAAGTTGATGCATTTCTGTTCACCCGGCTGGGCCATCTCTCACTCTCTTTTCGCCTCTTACTGTCGCCTCCATCATCTTAGACAATCTCACCCCGGAATCGCTAGGATCGCCTCTCTTGCGAGTTGACTGTTTTCGCGCCTTCTACATTCGCTGCTTTCCGTTGCCATTCAAGCATCCCAATCATGGCGAATCCTGGTCCTCCGGGACCAACGCTTGAGGACCAGCTTCGAGGCATGATCCTAAGCAATATCACCATCTCTGGCGACCAGGCTCCAGGACCTCACCATGTTCCGCATGGCCAGCAGGGACGATATTCGGCACAAACACTTCATCAGCCAAGGCCCGCGCATCCTCAACTCCCAGTCCAGAACCGACAACAAGGGCCTCCGCACAACTATCACAACGGCTACGTTCCCAAAAACTCATCGCAAACCCAAAATGCATATGCCCGAAACCAGAACCAGAGCAGGTTCTACGGTCAGCAGCAGCATTTCGAGGGCAGAGTTACCCACCAGGTCAATAACCAACAAGCATCGAGGGCACCACAGCAGCACACCACAAAGCACCCAGGTACCGGAACTCATCCTGCAGGTCCGCCACTTAGCAACACCCCCACACAGCCAAAGACGCCGCAGCGACGGACCGCGAAACCTCCAGTAACCGCGGGTCATCCTGCACCTCCACCGTCTAGCAACGCTCCGCCTGGGCTTAGGCCGCAGGTTCTGCAGCGGCCCCTTGTGGCTCCAGTGGGTAACGCAGCAACACCAAGTGCTCAAACACCTCAAGTCCTACGCCCGCCTCAAGCGGGTCCCAGACCGCCACAGACACCTCGACCCGACGTGCTCCAGGCTCAATGTACCTACCTCGATCGACTCGTGACACTTGAAGTTCCTCGCGCCGAGATGACGTTAGCGGAGAAGGAAGAGAAACAGGCATTCAGATCCCGCATTGAAGCAATCTGCCAAGGCGCTGTAAGCGAAGCTGTTCCGGATAATACGCCTCACATCTCTCTGCAAAGCTTCGGCAGCCTCGGATCAGGTCTCGCAACCCACGGTTCCGATGTTGACCTTGGAGCCACGCTGCTTGCGACGCCTTCTGACCCATCAAGCCAGATCTTACCTGTGCCCCGTTGGCTCCCACGTCTCATGGAGCAGGCGCTGTTGCAGCACGGCTATGGCGCTCACCTGCTCACCCAAACCAGGGTGCCCATCCTAAAGGTCTGTGAGAAACCGTCGCCGGAGCTGTATGCTGCACTATGCGAGGAGCGTCAAAAATGGGAAGTCCTACCAGACGAGGAGAAGTACCCTGACCCAGTGAAGGTCAATCAGAAGAGGAACGAGGATATTGCGAAAGCAGAGGCCGCGAAAGCTGCTGCGGATAGGGCTGCAGCAGAGAAGGCCAAGCCACTCTTCAACGAGGGCGACTTCCCAAGTCTTGGAGCGCAAAACGCCGCAGCCAAGCCGGTACAGGCCTCAAAGAAGCCTAGCAAAAGCTCATCTGACACAGCGCAGAACGTCAAGATCGCATCGCAGTCCCCAAAGCTGAGTAGTAGCGATACCGTAAACGACGGACCAGTCAATGTAGCCGCACCAGAGCCAGCCGCGAACAGCGATCCACCCAACGCCACAACAGATTCACATCCCCCTCAAAACTCACCCCCAACGGACGGTCCCAAACCAGGTACTAAACCGCTCCGGCCACCCCGCCCCGAAAGGACCTGGCTCCGCGAAAAGCCGCTCGGCCCGCTCGACTTCCCCAAAACCGGATGCGGGATCCAATCCGACATCAACTTCTCGAACCCGCTCGGGGTGCACAACACGCGCCTGCTGCGGTGCTACCTCGCCTGCGACGCGCGCGTGAAACCCTTCATCCTCTTCATCAAGCTCTGGGCCTCATCGCGCAAGATAAACTCGGCGCGCAACGGCACGCTCTGCTCGTACGGCTACGCGCTGCTCGCGCTGCACTACCTCATGAACGTCGCGCGGCCGGCCGTGGTGCCCAATCTGCAGAACATGCAGCTCGCGCTGTTCACGGTGAGGGGTGTGCATGCCAATCTCACGAATCGGGTCGTGGCGGGCCATGTGGTCGCGTTCTGGGATGATGAGGAGGCGCTCGCGAAGCTGGCGGCGAGCGGGCAGGGGAGCGTGAACGGAGAGTCTGTCGGGTCGCTGCTGCGCGGGTTTTTTGGGTACTATGCCACCACCTCCGGCGGCTTCCATTGGATGGAGGACGTACTCTCTCTACGCACAGCGCCCGGGGGCCTGCTGAGCAAGCGGGCGAAAGAGTGGACGGGCGCCAGGACGCAGCTGATGGAGGATGGGTTGGAAGTCCGGCAGAGGTTTCTGCTGGCAATCGAGGATCCCTTTGAGTGGAGCCATAATGTGGGACGGACGGTGACGCATAGGGGGATTGTGGCGATTAGGGACGAGTTCAGGCGCGCGTGGAGGATCTTGCAGGGGCTGTGGAAAGGAGAAGACGCGCTGGTCGAGGGCCTGCTGGATCCGGTTAAGGAGGAGGTGAGGGTGGTCGGCCTGGAGACGGAAAACGAGAAGGGATCTGAGGAGAAGGGCGCGGACAGGGGAGCGGACAAGGGCGAAGAGGCGCGAACGGACGAATCGAGCGAGGGGAATGTTGGAACGACTCTGGCGGATGAACCAGCTGTCGCGCCCAAGGACCCAGTACCCGAACCAGCTACGGCACCCGTACCAGAACCCGCCTCAGAACCGGTATCAGAGGCCCACGGAACCTGATGCGCTCGCATGGCGTCCAGTTGTGTGGCCATCACCGGATCAGACCGCGAAACATATTCTACAGCTCAAGGCGATCTGCACGGAGACCGACATTGTCGATATACTATCGTGCCACTGCTGGCTCCTCCAATCTTCCAAGGTACACATGGTTTTACCACTTGCATGGAACGGTAACATGTGCCCGCGTCTCCCATTTCCGTAAGAAGAAACGGCCAACAGCAAGGCCGACGACGACGATGAATGAATTCCTAAAAGTTGATGCATGGGCTAGCGTGGCATTGTTCCGAAGCATAGATGCACGGTATCGGGTTTGAGCGTTCGACTTCAATGTGCTTTGCTTTGTCTTGCGGTTTCTTCGAATTGTCCGGAAGGTGGCTGGATGGGGCAGTGCTTGTTCAACCATGAGAGACGTTGTGATCAACGGTATACAGCGTATAATTAGCTAGCTAACTGCAAGCAACCACCGAGTGCTGGTTTTCCCTAGCAAGTCAGAGCATCACCGCAGCAGTGTTTCACCAAGGTAGGCGCAGGCACGAAGGTCATCAGGCACTGCTCAGGAGGCAGCTCAGAGAAACGCATGCATTCGCTATCGCTATTGAATCCGTCCCTATAGCTCCCAGCACCCAGCACCCAAGCAAGCGCTCGCTCAATTTTCGTTGGTCTAGTAGTACACCATCGCATATGTCATAATCGTCCACCCCACTCCATCCAGCCGTCTCGCCAGTCATCCTTCACCGGTTCATCGTCATACCGTCGTGTGATTGTTCAACCGCAATACCAAGGGCCCTCTCCACCCTCTCCAGCTCGTCGAAGCCAAGAGCTTACAACTCGCCCTTGACGGAAGCCGAAGCGCTCGAGGCGCTCTTGGAGGCGGCCGACTTGGCAGAGCTCGCACTCGCAGACGCAGCAGAAGCAGCAGAGCTGGCGCTAGCCGAAGCAGCAGAACCACCCGAGCTGATGCTCGAGGAACCGGCAGCAGATGCAGAGCTTGCGCTAGCCTTGGCACGTTCGGCAGCGCTGGAGGCCGAGGCGCCCACAACGCTGGTAGCGCTCTTGACAGAAGCGCCCACACCGCCGGTGGCCCGGCTGGCGGCGCTGGTGGCACTGGCGGAACCCATGCCGATCATGTTCTTGATGTAGTCGGTGACCTGCTGAGCCAAGCCGGCGGCGGTACTGGTGGCCTGGGCGCCCATGTTGCCGGCAGAGGAGGTGGCAGCGCCGTACATGCTGGAAGCGGAAGAAGCGACACTGGTACCGGAGGCAGAGAGGTTGTTGCGGTGCTTGCGGGCGAGGGCGAGGAGCTCGTTGCGCTTGGAGCCTTGGGGGACCTTGATGCCGTTCTTGTCGGCCCACTCCTTAATCTGGCTGTCGCTCCAGGAGTTAAGCAGATCATCGCTCAGGCTCTGCGTGGCAGAGGAGGCGGCGGAAGAGACGGACAAGGCTCCATTACGCATGCTCTGGCCGGCGTAGCGGGCGTTGCGGCGGACGGCGGCGATGAGCTTATCGCGGCTGCTGGTCTGAGGAGCTGGGTAGCCGCGCTCATCGAGCCAAGACTTGAGGTCAGAGTCCGACCAGGACTCGTAGAGCCAGTCACCTGGGTAGGCAGCAGTCTCGCCAATCTTGTTGGCAGCAGACTGGTAGTTCTCGCGAGCGGTCTTGAGAAGGGAGTCGCGGTTGCGGGGTTGCGGGTTGGGAATGCCATGGTAGTCCAAGAATGCCTTGAGCTGCGACTCAGTCCAGCTGCAGCGGGTTAGTCGGGTTCTTGTTCGGGGGAATACTGCACGCATACCTGTCGAAGATCCAATCCTTGACGCTGTGGTACGAGTCGGATGCTTGATCCTCAGTCTCATACCAGTATTTCTTCATCTGGCTCAACAAGCCATCCTTGGTCTCTTTGGTCCCCTGCTTGGCCTGGTAGCCCTTGTCGGAAAGGTAGGACTGCATCTGGTTGGTATCCCAGCTGGAGTACGGCGAGCCAACTTTGGTGTTCCAGTTCTCCTTGACAAGGTTCTCCAGATCCTTGCGGTCGGCAGGTGTGGGGTAGGGAACGTCGTGATCTGACAGCCAACGCTCCAGCTCGGTCTCGTGCCAGTTGTTGTATGCTGCGCGCTCCCATGTCAGTCATGCTCTCCGCCAAGTGCGTGCAAGTAAAGCGTTTAGGGAAGAGCGACGAAAGCCGTGTGCTGCAGAAACACGTACCGGCTTTGCCAAACCACGAGCTGGCGATGGCATTGTTGGCGGCCAAAGCCACCGTCAGGGCGGAGATCAACGAGAATCTCATCTTTGCTGCGGGGGTGCGGAACGCTTCTTTCCTGTGGTGTTTGTGGAGGTGATGGAAGAGAGTTGGGGGTTGGTGTTATTGCGAGGAATGCAGATGGAGGAGAAAATGGCGGTGCAGAGCGTGTGCGAGAAGTGAAGTGTGGAGTGACGTATAATGAGGTAAACAATGTGGCTCAAACGAGAAATCGTCGATCCGTGGCTTTGACAGGGAATCACGGCGAAAACCAAGAAACGGAGCAGAGCGGGAATCGTTCCGGCCTGTCCGTTGCTTTCCTGTCGCCTTCCACAACTGTCCACCCGTCCGGGACGCAATTCACCTGCGGGACAAACGCAACGTAACGTGACGTCGCTTTCACATGCATGGGCCGCCATTCACCGCTGTCTGCTCACCAATCACCAGCCACACTTGGTATGGCTGTGCGAGATCCTGTTTGTAGTGAGGACAGCCGTCTGCGGACACAGATGGAGTCCATGTCTAGATCGCTTTCGGGCAATGGGGCAAATGGCTAGAGAGCAAGCTATTCCGTCAGAGACAGCCGCAAAGCAGCAGCAGCAGCAGGTCCAATCAAACATGGCAGTAATAAGCATACAGTACAATTGCTTTACAACAAGCCCAGCCCAGTTTAGTTTTGCTTTTCCGGCCCCTCGTTGGTCTCTCCCACTCCTCCGTGCCCTGATGAAGCGGACGAGTTAGCCATTGAACAAAAAGCAACAACACTCGGCGTGCTGGATGGAGTCACGAGACACTCACCAGCCCAGAACCCCTTGTCAACCTTCTGCTTATCGCTCGCGTTCGGATCATCAGTCTTCTCAGGCGCCTTCTCAGCACGGTTCTCCATCTCCTTGTTGTGTTGCTTGACGTCCTGGCTCTGCTCCGAGGCGTCGGGAGGGCTTGTGTCTAGGATCTTTGGCTGCGCACCTTTCGTCTTGTCTCCGCCATTGCCGCCTCCACTGCTCTGCTGGGACGAAGCCGAAGAAGAAGAGTCCCCTGATGAGGACGTCCCGCCCGTGTGGCCCTCGCTCGTGGCCTTCGTGGGTGTCGTTCCGGTGCCCTGGCCGACCTTTGGCGGTGGTGGACCCGGGTGCTCGAGGTCGCTCGACTTGCTGGGGCCCTGGTCTTGTGGATTCTCGCCGACTGGGTCGCCTTCACCACCGCCGTAGTCGCCGGCGAAGCGCTGGGAGGTGATTGGGAGTGTAGCGCGGGGAGCTGCGCGCAGGAACGGGCGGAGGAGCGTGGAGCTCAGACTTGATCGTAGGAGAGACATTGTAAAGGACGAAGGTTTGTCAATTGCAATTATGGCAAGCTTGAAGGACAATTGCAGATGATGGTTCGTCGTGTGTGTTAAGCTACCGTCTCTGAAGCTCTGGCCCAAGTCATGAGCTCAGTTGCGCACGGGCCATCAGGAGCCATCTGATACCCCATACGTCATGTTTGGATCTGGGGTTCGGTGACCGATTCCGACCCTGCCGTGCATAGTAGAGTCCACCTCCTAGTGAAGTATGAATTTCTAACAAGGAGACTAGAGGATTACTATAGACTTAGTTTCTGAAACAAGGTATTCTATCTAATATTAATTCAAAAGAACTAGATAGACTATTAGAAAGAATCTTTAATAGCTAATAGATAGATTAAAGTTCGTAGTTTTATATAATTATATATATTAGCTATAACTAGCAGCAAATTATATAGTAAGAGTTCTAATTATTATAAATAGAGATGCGGCGCGCTACTAAGCGAGAATTTAGTATTAAGAGATTATAAGTAAACTAAGTACTAGGGTGCTACTAAGTAAGTAATTAGTATACTTAGTATAATTAGGAATCGAGTATACTAAGTAGGCTAAATAAAATATATAGATACTTACTCTAGGCTATAGTATATAGATAGACGATTTTATACTATAGTATAGCTTAGAATTATACTTAACTTAATATGAGAATCTTATATTTTTATAATATATCTAATTATTATCTTATAATATTAATTTAACTTTATTATATCTTATACTTTTCTCTAACTCTTTAACTAGAATTATTACTACCTCTAATAATTATTATTATTATCTAGAGATAGCAGCGCGTTATACTAATATAGAACTAGATTTAAGATCTTGTAAAACTAAATTGCTAATAGTATTCTACTCTGAAAACGCAGATCTTATCACGATTGGATCTGTATATCTCTAAATAGTCGTGAATATATAATTAATTAAGTGATAGTCGCGTTGTCTTAACGCGACCGACTATATACCTATTATTTAGTTAGCTCTTACTATCTAGGCTACCTCACTATAGCTTAAACCGTGATATATACCGCTGTGAATAAGTATATATCTTCGTTCTTAAAGGTTATAAGTAAAAGTAAGTACTACCTCTCCTAATTAATCCTCTACTTAGTTAGCTAGACTATACCCTCTAGCCTATTTATATAAGGAGCGCTATTGCGAAGAGTAGATAAGTAATAGAAGCGAGTAAAGAAATAAATAAAGGAAAACAAGCTACTATTAAGGAAAATAGAAGAGAGAGAGAGAGCACGCTATTATCTAGTAGCTCTACGTTATTTAGAGAGAAAGAGAGAAGTGTGTTGTCCTATAATAAGGTTTTAGTTTTAAATAATAGACAGCGCGTGCCGACCTACTAGTGCGATATATTAGGTAAATAAGAAGGTAGAGTAGATACTTATAGGGTTCGTAATAAAGCTTAATAAAAAAAGCCTATATAAAAGGTTTAAGTTACTTAGTTAGGTAGTAGGAGAGCCGGGAGTAGTATCGCGATAGTTATTACTATTATAATTACTTAGGAACTTATTATTGCAAAGTGGCGAGTCTAGAATAATATAGCCTTATTCGCGTAAGGAACTAGCCGTTAAAGTAACTAGTAGGAGGTATACTATTAAGGTAGGGAGAGATAGTAAGGCGCTTACCGTTCTAGTTTTTTTAATAGTTTTAGAGCCTATAAGATTTACTAGCGAAGCCTTGCGTTTATAAGGCGTAATAGGTAAGCTTATAGGGGCGTTAGCCTCTCTTCCGCTACTAGCTACTAGTAGGGGGTGCTTATAGGTTAGCTTACCTGCTCTAGCCTTACGGTATCTAGAAGATTGCTACTATTAGAGTAGAAAGAGTGTAGCGTTTAGCTTAAGTCTTTTTAACTAGTAGGGGCATATTGCCTATAGGGAATAGTAGCGGTATAGGCTTAGTAACCTTATACTTTATTACGTTAAGCCTCTAGATTATTAGAAGTAGAGGGGTGAAAACTTATTCCTCCCTATTAAAGGTTTTTCTCTATAGATTAGAGATATTTCTTTATAATTCTAACTAGCGGAGGGCTAGTGTATTAGCTAGAGCTAAATTAATATCTTAGAGGAACTCCTCTAGCTCCTCACTTTATTACTATAGATACTTAGTAACCCACTTATTAAGAATATTTATAAGTAGGGAATCTTTTTAAAGAACCTTTATACTATATAGCGTGAAGTTATAGATAATAGTACTAAAGTTTTCTTTTAAGATAATAACGCGATCTAGCGTATTAGATATCTTATAGAGAGTTATTACTTAGTAGTTATAGCACTACTTTAACGCTTTTAGGGCTGCATCGCGTCTTATAACGCGTTCTCTTTTCTTTTATAGCTTATTCTTTACTTCCGCTAGCTTCTTCTAGAGCTTACTAATAGTTATAGTCTCTTTATCTAACTTATTACTATATTTCTTATTAAAGGCTCGTTTAATTTCCTCCGCTATTATCTTAGGCTAGATAGTAGGGTTACTTATAGGTACTAGGGTAGTAGGAGTCGTACTAATTAACTACTTTATCTTTCTCTTAATCGGGCTACCTAGCTCTATTATATTAACTTACGTCTTCTTTACGGAGTCTATAGTTATTAGAGAGGCAGCACTTGCCTTACTAAAGCCCTAGACTCTAGTCTTTATAGCTTCTTCCTCCTCTAGCTATTTCTAAGTATTAGTATCTAGGTTCGAGTTTAAGATTACTACTAGTAGAATAGGTATATTTAAACTAATATTAGAGTTAATATTGCGGACTATATAATATTGTTTCTTTAAGGTTCTATTCTTTTAAAATATAGAGACCTTAACACCTTTTAGTAGGGTAAGCCTATAGTAATTATTTAGATTTATAAGGGAGGGTAGATTAATTAGCCTATAGATACCTAGAAAGTACTCTAGACTATTCCTCTCAAAAGTTAGTTAAAAGAGCTCTAGTCTATCTCTAATATAGGGTTAGTAGAGTAGCGATTACTCCGCGTCTCTCTAATATAATATTTATTACTACCTTAAGGTAATATAATTACTATACTATTAGAGATACTCTCTATTATCAATCTTCTCCCTTCTTATATATAGATCCACCACGTTTCGGACTAATCTATAGACCTATTCTTTTTTTATAAAGGTACTAGGGAACTATATTCCTATCTAGTTAGCTATAACCTTAGCTTTACCTTCTAGAAAGTTCCCTCCGCTAGCGAGTAGACTATAAAGTTCCTTAATAGAGACTAGCTCTAGATAAACGTTCTTTGTTAAGGTACTCTTATTAAAGAGGGACCTATTATAGACTAGCTACTTACAAAATTAGTACTAGTTTAGTACTAAGGTAAAAGCTACCTACTTCTCTCCCTCCTTACTATTATATACTTCTAGGAGACTCTAGTAGATGTATCTAAGGTTAGATAGTTTAGATGTAGTAGGTATATTTTTAGCGGTTTAGTTAGCTGCTAAAGGTTAAGTATTAATAATAGGGATTAGAAGCCTTGCTAGGGTTGTGGTAGTACGGGAGGTTTATTACGTGGAAGCTAGTATAGGGTGCGCGTGCTAAGGTTTAAGGATCTTTATTAATTAATTAGAGAACTAAGATAGTTAGTATTAGTTATATTATAGTATTAAGTATTACCACACTTGTTCTATATATTATTTAGCCTTATATAACCTATTACCGTAATCCTATCGCCGCCTTAATAGTCCTACCTTAATATCTCACCTCCGCGGACGCGTACGACCTACTCACCTGAGTCTATACTTAAATCCTCTACCCACAATAGAATCTTATTAGTTAACTCCTTTAAGTTGTCGATATTTCGGAGAGTAGTAACATTAACATTTATATTAATTAGTGAGAATACTTTAATTGCGACTTGCAGCTTCTTAAGTATAATATAGATATTTAACTATAGCTAGTTAGCCTTAGTCTAAATCTAGTTTATTGCGTTCTTCGCGAATTCTAGGATTAGTTAGTTATTAGTATACTCTTTCGTGAAGAGGTTCTAGATATAAGCCCTATTCTATAACTAGTTATCTAGGTAGTTATTGTTCACTCTTTTTACTATATAGATTATAATAATTATCGCTTCTATTACTTTAGTAAGCTATCTTCTAGTTGTGTATACTAAGATAAGAGATTTAAAAAGGGATATTACTATCGCCCTATCTTATGCGGTGATACGCTATTTAAGGTTAGTAAGAAGGTACGCGTTAATATTTACTAAATTAAAATAGGTTTATTAGTACACTTATAGTAATAAGACTATAATAATCTACTTAATACTTAGGTTTAATGCAATAGTTATAGGTGCTAGGCTTTATATAGTATGAGGTTTCTAGTTATTATAATCAATAATCTAAACGTAAAGGCTCATGCGTTTATTATATATATAAGGTAAAGTATGTTGCCTTTTACGGAGTAATCTAGGTATATATAATCTAATTAATAATAATAGTCTTTATAACATAGTGGCCGCTAGTCTTCTTATACTTAATAATTTCTATTTCTTTCTAGAACGCCTAACTCTATAAACTAATTAATTTATTATAATTCGTTACTTAGGCTCCTCTACCTATAGGTAATAGGTATTTCCACTCGTGCTAGGGTATTTAGGCCTAGTTATAATATAGTAATAGGCTTAGAAGCCACGACTAGAGCCTTAGAGGTGTATTTTATAGTATTACTACCACCTTCCTTTAGCTTCTTTATCTACTAAGTTTATTCCTTTCTCTTAGCCTCTAAACCCTCTCTAGAATGCTGCTTATTATATATATTAACTAGGTCTCTAGTGTTAGCGAGGTTCTTCTCATTATACTATATATTATGCGAGAGGCTCCACCCTTTCTATTTAATAAGGTATTAGTAGCGTGTAGGCTTTCTAAAGAGACGTCTTAATAGGACTTATTTAATCTTAAAGCTATCCCTATTATTGTTCTTAGCCTCTATAGTAATAGGGCTAGGCTCTAGGTTTAGTTTCCTTTAGTAGGAG